CCATATATATCAATTCTTGTCAGCCCCTATTTTTGTCTTGATTTACTTTTTCTACTTTGTACAGCCTGTATATTTATGGAGGTCAGGTGCGCATTCTAAATCTTTACAACATGCCACCATTCCTTTTAGGTCGGTACTTAAAGGGAGTATTTATTTCATCTATTCTGTTTCCCTCTCTGTCCTTTTCCTTTCTGTTGATTTGCAAACTAGACAGGTTTAAATCCCCTTAGAAATGATGCTCCATTTCTTTCTCCTTTTTTTTTTTTTCTTTTTTGCAAGGGGGTGGAATGGGTATTATTTAGAACCCCAGTGTTTCTTTTGAAATGCCACTTTCACTCAAAATTGATTCCCACTTTTTTCTGAAATCTGTGATGGGAGACTTAAGGGTGTGACTTCAAGGTAACTTTGATTTACAACCATTTAAACATTTTGAGGTGTAAAAGAAACATATCAGGAAAAGTAAATTCAGTAACGATACATGTGTTAGAATAACACAGCTTTGAAGATCAAGCGTTCTGTTATCTACATTTTCATCTGTTTAATGTATCTGGTCAATTCCATTGGTGATTCACAACAGGATTATAATGGGTAAAAGAACTCTGAGTGAGATGATTTACAGATTTTTGGGGCTATGGTGCCACCTACTGAAATACTACTAACTAATCTTCTGACTAAATGAAGACACAAAGCATGTATGTGAAAAATAAGGTTGAAAATTGTCCTCAGAAGAGTAAAAACAAAGAGTTTTTTTAAATATATAGCAACATCAAGAGTACTACTGTAATGTATTTTATTTGATGTCTTAATAGAATTTAAAAGAATGCATAATAAGAATTCAACACAGTTGTTTCTACCATACCAATGATTTGGTAATGTTCAGATGATGTTTGCATATGCAAAACATAATGGACAGTTGGGTTCCTTACTCATAATTTAGAAAGAACTGCAAAATATCATAGAGATATTGAAATATTATTGCAGACATATGGTAGAGTTTCCTCTAAATATTTTTGCATCGTTCTTATTAGTATGCGGATACATAATAACTGCATTTATCTTGGGGGAATTAGTGACTATACATAGAGTACCTTCATCATTTTTACTTCCCTTCCACATCCTTTCCATCTCCCCCTCATCTTTAAGTGCTTTGTACATCTCCAGAAAGTCTACTTCCCCCCATCCTGTCCTCTATCTTTTATTTTGCTGTTTAAATTATTTGTACTTGTAATTTCTCATATAAGAGAAATGAGGTGATACATAACCACTAGTGTCTGATTTATTTCATTTAGCATTATGATCTTAAGGTGCATGCAGTTTCCTCCAGATGATTCAAATTTACACTTTAAAGTTGAGTAGGATTCCTTGCGTACACACATTTTCTTTATCCACTCAGCCATTGATGGGCCTCTGTTTTCTGACTATTGAAGTTATGTGATTTAACCTGCTCTCTGTCTTACTTCATATGCAAATCCAGTCATCACAGAAGTTATTTGTTTGTGTACTGACTGCTTTTATGGCAGGCATTAAATGATTTTGAGGGGAGGAATGTCATTTAGATATTAGATTTTTCAAACTGTGTTAGTTCATAAAAGTCAACTTTACTGTGTTCCTACTTTGAGATTTGTAGGTTGTTTTTAATTTTTAAAAAATAATTGAAAATAGTTTACATTTAAATATGCTAGTGGATATGGCCTATGGATATTATTTAGCATTGCTGAAATGCCTGAAGAGCTTCTAAAAGACATTGGCTTGAGTTTTAGAATGGTTTTCAATTTTAAAAATTTACTTTAGAGTGGCCCTATACATTTTTTGAGTAGTCAAATTTTCTCATATCATGTATCATATTGAATAAAATTGTTGCTAATACTGAAAATAAAAAAAATGTTGTGGCCATGAGAACAAGCAAGTTCTCCTTTACACTGAGTCTAAACAGAAAGGCTGAAACCTTGGGATTTTCTTTCATGAAGATAAAAGGGTGTGTGCATGTATGTGTGTGCATGCTTGAAATTCTACAGAAAGAAAAGAAAACAAGACACAGGTTTTTTTTTTTTTTTTTTTTTTTTTATAACACAGCCACCCAGTGGAGGAATTCAAAATCACATTCAGAAGTAAATTAAAGAAAATGTCTGCTTAACTTCAGAAGCCTTTATGGAAAGTAAACATGAACACAGAGAAAGGAAAATGCGATAGATCTTTAGATATTATGTTGTTATCCAGGGACACTAAATTGTGTAGCATCAAAGATTAAAGAGTTTGTGGATATGGTGTGACAATCAGATTAGAAATATCTGTTATTCTCTTCTTAAGCTTTTAGAAACTTTTTCAAAGCTGAACAAAGGTTTGTGGATTGTAATACTTTAGAGTACTTGTGTTTGTTGCTATAGTTTTCTTGGCTTTTCTCTGAAATAATATCCTCTAGTAAATCAAATTGACAGATCCCTGAATTTTCTTTATTGTTTGTAACATGTACAGAACACTGAGCAAATTGTAATTTACGCAGTCACCTTTAAGGTTAAGGTTATTTCAACATTTTTAACATTACTAGAGTAATTTTCTCTGAAGGTGAGTCTTGTCTGAGATACATTTTCATTTAGTTTATGAACTGTCATAGAGCATGTTCTCCCCGGAGATTAAAAGATTTTGTACACTGCAAAATTTAATTGAGGAAAAGGCTGAAGACGTAGGTGAGAGTCCAAGCAGTGCGTCAGAGAAGGGTGGCTCAGACTCAAGCCTGAGGAACACACGGCGGTCTGGACTGAGTCAGTTGAGTTTTCTAAACTTGATAGGGGGTTTAGTAACACTTAAGAGAGAAAACACAGGCAAAGAACTTAATAAATAGCATGAAACTCACTAAGTATCAGTGGATATTAGCAATTTATAATAGTAAAATGATATCAGTTTTGAATTACTCTTTAGAGATAAATCTCTCAAAGCAATCTTTTGTTTCAATAATTTACTGCTTGCCCTTCATTTTAGAACCTTTAAAATACTATATATATATATCTTACTATATTAGTGATATATATATACATATATATAGTAATATGACGACTTTAACTCCTTTTGGAAGACACCTAAGAAAGGGAGAGCTGGGCCAAATAGAATTTCTACTTTTCGTGTCTGGAGGAATTTCCACACTGATTTCCATAGTGATTGTGCCAATTTACACTCCCATTAACAATGCAGTAGAGTTCCTTTTCCCCCACAAGATTGCCTGCATGTCTTATTTGCAGATTTTTTTTTTTTTTTAATGATAGCCATACTTTCTGGGGTAAGATGGTATCTCAGTGTCGTTTTAATTTGCTAATTTGTTTTATTTATATTAATAGTTTATTTTAGTCCATTGAAAGTAAAGTTCATGTTATTACCTGTTTCTTTTTTTTGTAAGATTCTTTTTGGTTTATATCTTGTACTGAGTAACTATTTTGAAGATAACTATACATAGTGTAGTAACTATTTTTACCCTGTTATTTGCTTATGAAATTTTTTTCATAAAAGAAAAATCAAGGATACTCTGTCATAGTACCCGTTCAAAACTAAATTGCTTTTAAGCCTCTTGGAATTAAATTGATGTCCTTGTAACACTTAAAATGTATTTGGCATAATAAATTGTCTACTAATGGGAAATATTTTCTTTGTCAGTGATTACCCAGTTCTCATTTAAAAAGTTTTGAATAAGTACTTTAGGCATCCTTTCTTTGTTAGCTTTACTCCTGGGATAACATTTTCCCCAAATAGGAAGTCATTTCACAATTGCTTTTCCTTGATTTCCTGCCCCTAGGTTGGCTTCTATTAATCCATTTTCGGCTTTTACCCTAAGAATGTTTATTTAAGTTTTTTTCTTTTCTTTGTACATTCTTTATTATTAATACAGTTTTGCCAAACATACTGATCACATTCATCATAAGAAATTTGTACTTGTAAACAGTGTATTTTAATTCTTTTTTATTAACCCTTTTCTGTTCCCAAAAAGATTGACCTAAAATTCAAATGATTTCTCCATTAGATCTTTCCTTAAAGACATCACTCCAACAGTGATCTACTGTGAGATGAACTCTAACTTATTTCTCTATACAATTTTTTTTTATAAACTACAGCTTAAATGTGTTCAAGACCGCTCTGTAATACCTCCTCCACTAGCTGGCACCAACCCTGTACATCTAACTCAGATAAGCCTCTTGTAGGCTTCTTCGTCAGTTCTGTCTCCTATTTTGTGAATCTTTTCTACATCTCAGACTAAATGGAAATCATTGAAGGCAGAGAAGTTCAGTGTCATGTATTCCTAGCATGTGATATAATGTGTAGTATACAGTAAATACTCGAACTATATCAATAGTTGGGGTTTAGAGCAGAGACATGAGTGCCTGCCTCACTAGCAGGAGGTCCTGAGTTCAGTCCAGGGTGGGGGGGGGGGAGAACACCAACAAATTGTATGAATAAATGAACGAGTTTTAGAAAATATCTTTCCAAAAGTCTTTTCTAAAGATATTTTCAGGCTTGAAATTAATCTCAGCAGTCCCCCTTTATTCTATTTCTTTCTTTCTTTCTTTCTTTCTTTCTTTCTTTCTTTCTTTCTTTCTTTCTTCCTTCCTTCCTTCCTTCCTTCCTTTCTTTCTTTCTTTCTTTCTTTCTTTCTTTCTTTCTTTCTTTCTTTCTTTCTTTCTTTCTTCCATACCTGGGATCAAACTCATGACCTCACACTTGTCAGGCAAGTGCTTGTGCTGCTGAACTAAATCTCCAGCCCCATTTTTCTTACTTTGCCTGGTAATTAACAAATAACAAGGTTTTGACATACTTGGGCTTTGTAAATATGAGACTGAGAGAAAAAGTTTCACTGAGGTAAAATATACAGAAAGTTGCTATGTTGTTGATGTTCTAACATAGACACATTGTATATGCATATGTTTCTGTGTGTGTGTGTGTGCATATGTTTGCCATATACTTACATGTATTTATGAAATTTTAAAAAATCTGAAAGATTTTTGTTTTTCATTTTACAGGGCAAGACTTGGATACTACCCCACCTGGTAAGAGTTAATAATTGCATTTTATTTATTTATTTTCTTATTGCAAAGATTATATACTTAATGTATACATAAATTTTTTGTTTGTAATTCAAATAAATTGTTTTAAGAAAAAGAATAGTTCTTGAAATCCACTTGTTCTAAAAAATGCTGCTTAAAATATAAAGTTTGACTGAACATATCATTGTTTTATATGTGATATTGTCATGTATAAACAATAACTTTCTTAACCTTGAAGTTATAAAACATGACAGGATTCCAAACTTCCTTAAAATTTCAACACTATCAATAGTTAAATCACAAAACTTTATAGTTCAGACTAAGTTAAAAGTTACCTGAGAAAATAAAAGCTAGACATAATCTTATGCTTCAGAGTTAGTAATATATATTTTCTATATTAATAATATTTTTAATTCATTTGTATTTAGATTTAAAAATATATTTTAGATAGTGAATTATATTAATTCTTGCCTTTTAGAAATATGCAAAGCTTTGATTATTGAATAGTTTTTAATAATTTTTATCAAAGTTGTTCTATCATAACTAAATTAATGGTCTTAAAAGGTGTCTAAATCCTGAGATAAATTTAAATAATAAAGATGCCACCAGTAAATGTATATATATATATATACCACACAAAATAATAGAGAAATTAAATTGAAGGGCAATCACACGATTTCAATATTATTATTATAACTATTGAAAAAGTACAATATAAAGTTTGATCGATCATATTGTTGACAGCATGCATTAAGAAGATAAAACTATTAAGCACTTCTGACTTAATAATTATACTGCACAACTAAATGAGATTCATTTGACAATTAGGTAGTTACAGGATTTATTTTATATTTATTTTATATACAGGATTTATTTTATTTATTTTATATTTAAATGAAACTCATTCCAAGTGATGAACACCGAGAAAAAATCTATGCAAATACTAACAAAAACTATTCCTAAATGTGCACAAGAGGTGCATTTCTTTATTTTCTGAAAGTCCTTACTGTTTCAATTTTATAGGTTTATAGTATACAATACTAAAAAATACTTTAAGTAAATGAAAGTCATTCTTTTTAGCATTGTACTTGATCTATTTATAATTCATTTCTTTATTTTTGTGGTACTGGGGATCAAGCCCAGAGCCTTTGCACTGAGCTCCGTTTCCCAACCCATTTTGATGAATTAATTATTTTCTATTTTTTTAAGACAGGGTCTACTAAGTTGCTAAATTGTCCAGGCTGGACTTGAACTTGTCATTGTTCCACTTCAGCCTCCCAGAGTGTTGGGATTACAGGTGTGCGCCACCACTCCTGACTGCCACTTTTGAAAAGTTAGCTTTCTTTTTTACACAAGATTAATCTCAATCACATAAGTGAGTTACTTTGCAGAAGAGGGATGAGGCTCGCAGAGAACCAATAGTACCTGTTAAAATGGAGCAGGGCTCATCACCTTATTAGACTTCCCTTTATCTCTGTACTATCGTAGCAAGCCTCCAAATGATGAAAGTAGGTAAGTTAAAATTATGATCCAAAAGAAAACTTTCACCCAAGTATGGCCAATAAGAATGCACTTGAAGGAAGTCATTGTCCCAAAGTAAGGAGCAATGTGAAATTGGCAACTGAAGCTGAAGTGTGGTTTATAATGTTAAATTCTCATTTCTGAACTGATAGTTTAAGTACAAAGCTTGTATCTAGGAGAGCCGTTCTCCCAACACCCTTTTCTACACACTTTGCCGGGAGCGGTCCACAGCAGAGCCACTCTTCAGATAGCACAGCCCAGTCTTCTTGGGTATTTGCAGTGATTTTTCTTTTAAAATTCTTTGTAATTCAAAACTAACAAAACAATGGGCATGAAAGGTAAAGCCAGGTTTTTACAACAACACTGGAATCCTGCTAACACCAAAATTGGTTTAAGGTAAAAATAACTAATAATTATTAGGTCTACACGATGATAGTCAATTAGCATTAATGTACAGACATTTAAGGTCTCTCCCACTTTTTCCCTTCATCTGCTTTTGTCTCTTCTTCTGATCACTTAATTTATTCTCCATCCCTTTCAGTCAATTCATAGCACATGGGAGAACACTATTGTATTACCCTGAAATCTGCAGGTAGCTATTTGTCTATTAATTGATTATGTGAGCAAATGGTTATAAGTGAGTGTTTGTTACTAGCTGGATGTATTTTTTACTTAGCTGGTTGTAAAGTTTTGATATTGAACATGCTCACTGGAAAATAGCACATTACAACTGCACCATCCCTTCGGATTTCTGTAATCACAGGCTTGTTCTATGATATATGACCTGCATGGACATGGTGGCCATTCAATACTGTCCAAATTATTTTTATCTGTGTTTAGTAAAAAGTAGTTTCACTCGACCTTCTTCATTAATGAGTGAAACTGGGATTTCTTGTGGTCTTTTCATTTCCATTTTATTATTTCTTTATTCAATATCCCAATTTTCTTAACTTTTTCTTGTCTTATTTCTACTTCTTTTTCAGCTTTCCCTGCTTTTCCTCTTCCCTCTTGCCATTCTCTTTTATCTAATCTGGTTGAGTTGAATTATTTAAAACTCTTCTGATACTGTTTTTGGCTGATTCAATTTTTAAATATGTATACTATTCTAAGAATGCAATAGATATCAAACAGAAAATTTAGGGGGAAAAAACCAGCTCTCAGATACCAGAGATTAGTGAAATACATAGAATTTGGTGTATTTCCTTATTGTTCCATAAAAGGTATACTTTTTCAGTAAAAGAGCAAAAATAGATTTAAAGGCCTTTATTACATGGTGCTAATTTGTGCTGTAGAAAACTTTTGCCCATTGTGTGTCCAAATCATCCGAGTATGTACTGATTTTACTACAACTGGTAACAATTTCCCTCCGTTATAAAATGAATCTAAATTGTGGAAATGTTACTTCAGCTCCTTATCTCATATCTGTTCTGTCAGTATGAAGGTGATATTTTTGTAAGCATGGGTCATTTCCATACCTGCCTATGAGTTTTACGTTCCATGTTTTTACTCATCTTTCTCTTGGTTTGTATTTGATTTTAAAAAGCCAATTTGTGCCTCTAGAGCTTTTGCCTGCCATTTTTTAAAATATTGAAATCCTAGTACATAATAATATCTTTTTGAATTTACTTTTCTCCACAGTTTTATAAGTCTTGTAAATTTTCCTATAAGCATCTTTACCCAAAGGGGTCCCTTTTGTCAAGTCAACTATTCTAGATAGCTAAGATACCAGTGGCTGATTGGTCAAGTGAATGGATGATAGCTGCTTTCAAATCATTTCTCCTAATTTTTAATCTTTAGTATTATATGCTTTGATTTATTATTTATATCTGTATATTATATGTATATTTCTTTTTACTATTATATTTTCATCTATATTTGCATAAATGTATATACAAATTTATACTCACATCATATATATGATATATGAGATATGTATATATATATATAATATATATAGAGAGAGATTGTGTGTATGTGTGTGTATGTGTGTGTGTGTGTGTGTGTGTGTGTGTGTGTGTGTGTGTGCATATGCGTGGGTGACACTCTGATGGCCTAGGGAGTTGGTGCACTCTGCTAACCACATGTTTCTGGTTGTGATGGACATATTTATTTTCTTCTTCAATCTCCCATTAACATAACAGGACTGACTGCAGCAGAGGAGCCCAGTGCTCTGCCTTCTAGTGGCCCCTTACCTGCTCACACCAATGCATCCTCACTCCCAAGCATCTCTGAAAGAGAAAATGACTCCTCAGAGACCACACCTTCTGCTAGTCCAAATGATTCCTCAGCTCATGTCTCCCTGGACCCTTTGGATAATGCTAATGCTCTTAATGTGACAGGTTGGCACAGAAATGTTCTTAATCAAAATGGTGTTGGAGTAAATTTGTCTTTCAAAAATATTTTGAAGTAATCAAAATGGTTTTTCTTGATATATTGTGTGTAGTTCCTGTAGATATGATTTTATTCAAGTGAATAAAGTTTAAGAGCTGTTAGGTGTGTATAAAAGTGGGTTGACTCAAGTAATGCTTGCATAATTTAGGGAAAAGGAAAGGGACAGGAATGACCCACTAAGTAAAATCAGGAGGGTGACAGGGATTTTCAGAGTGCACATATATCAGGCTTCTGCAGTGAATAGTAGTTTAAGGTAAAATGTGTTGTGCAGTTCTTTGGACAAGAAAATGGGAGAAGAATAACAATGCCTTTCTAGGAAGAAAACTATGTGAGAAGACTAAAGAATAAGGCAAATACATTCTGCTGTACTAACTGAAGTTTTTACACTGAGATATTCCTTGGGTCATGCTCCCCAAGATAGTGACTGTCAGTGTATTAAAGAAAGTGCTGTTCATAACTGCAAGCAAGTAGAGCTTTCAGGGTTCGGATATCAACTAGTTCAATGAATGGAATCAGGCTGCACTCACCAGACTGTCTGCCAGGTGCAACAGGACTCTTCAGAGTGCACATAGATCAGGCCTGAATAGTGAGCAGCTTTTTTGGGGTGGAATGCCACGGTCCTCCCAAGTCCACACTGCATCATTCTCTTTATTCCTGCCCTCATGGGTTCCTCATAGTCTTGGCCAGGTTGGCATTTACTCCAGAGCTTCTTCACTGCTACCATTCTAGGCAAGTTCCCAAATGTAGGATCCTCCTCTTTTTTCATTTCATTCCAAGTTAGCATTATCAGGAAATTACTGAACTTGGACCATTTATTTTTGAACATTCTTTGTGAGATTTGATAACTTAGCTTTGTTATATGGATTTTTTCTAGAGCTTTTTATATCATTTAATATTTTTCAAATTAATCAGTTTTGATACCCAATAATGAAAACTGCGTAAATGTAATCATGTTAATAGAAAATATCAGATTGCCGTGGGAGGCACATTGGCTGGCAAAGACCACCAATGCTCCTCACAATGTTGATGCCTCAGTGATTTCAGCTCATTTTATGTTTGCCTCCAGTGTATCTGGTACACCAATCTACCAACATGGGGACTGGCCAAGCACTTCGGAAATGATGTGTTATGATGCCATTTTTTAAGGTTAACAAGTTTACGGAATACTATGATAAGGAACTAAACTATTTGATAGCCTAATAACACCATTTAGCTTTTTCTGAAAAACAAGCATGCATAATATCATTTCTTTAGAGTGCATTGCAGTGTTTCGAGCATTTTATTGGTAGACAGTTAAATAAAAGGATAATGCTTTTTGGACTGCATATTAAACTTTTACCCCAATTTCCATGCCACCATAGCAGAGTAATGTTTTAGAATTTATCTAGACACCTTCATCACCTGAAGTTTTTATAAAAGGAATATAAGGTTGATAGGTGAATGCTGATGATATGCAAAATATTTCATGCTAGACCTTTGTCCGTGATACTTTTAAATACCAAGTGTCCAAACTACAACCCAAAATTCACTTATTTAAGTCCTGTTGCCAACACTGTCCCTATGTGTGCTGCTATCCAAAGCACAGCTGCTAGAGCAACTTGGCTCAAGTGCCCACAGAGTGGGTTTTGCATGCCCACTGTGGCACACATAGCGTAGATGTGTCACTGCCATGGTAGTTTTTATAGCCTGAGATATGTCACTCCAATTTCCATTTTAAGGATTCCAGATTTCACTTCACACACACACACACACACACACACACACACACACACACACATTCAATTTTTAAATCCTTGTTCATGCCTGACATTTTTCTAGTCAGCATATTAAAACCATAGATTTACAGGTAGAGTGTGTTAAGGTACAGACTTACAATGGAATAGGTTGGAAATAAGAATGAATAGTAATAAAATACTGACTTATTCTCCCCCAAAAGCTCCTTGATGAACCATGCTAGGAAAGTTTCTTTTGCTTTTTCTTGTTTATCCGTATACCTGAGAAAAAAATTTTTATTCACTTTTCAAATGATGTAATATACACTCTTTTAGAATTTTCTTTTAAAAATTGATTACAATACATATCCACATGCATAACACTAAAATATAGAATATTACTCTTGTAGAAAACATTTATGCATGTTTCAAAAGAATTAATATGGAAATATATATGTAAACAAATATAAATACTTAAAATGTAATTTATATGTGCAATGGAAATATCATTTTGAATCCTGCCCTTTTAATATATAATTTTCACTACTGTTAAATGATTTCCAGTTTCCTAGCAGATGGTCCTGTGAGTGTGGGCGTGTATGTGTGTTTAGATACACATGTATCACTATTTCCACACCTTCTCCAATGTCAGATATTATCAGTCTGTTAAAACTGCCATGACAATAGTTACAAATGTTCCACATTAACTACATTTCTTTAATTTTTCATAACATTAAGCAAACCTTTTGGCCATTCTACCATTAGACGCCTTATATTTTGTGTTCATTTTCCTATTTCTTCTTTGTAAGAGAAGATAGTGTTATTCGACCTACAAAGAAACGTCCCAACTTTCAGTTTGTAGAGTTGGTGGTGAATTCAGAAAAAAACCATAGTGACCTGGAAATCAAAGTGCAATCTGGAAATGTGAATCAAGGTCATGAGGAGCCCAGGGGGCAACCAGGAATCTGTAAATTGCCCCCTCCCTCTTCCTGCCCACGGAACTTTGGTGTTTTGGTAGTATTCAGGAGTATTGGGTCACTTCATAGGCTGGTAAACTGTGACAGCAATTTGCTTCTTATTGATTTGCAAATGCAATAGGAGAAGAGTGATGCGATGATCTAACTTTCCTACCTCAGGTGTTGCAACCACGTCTACGCCTCCACCTCCAACTCTCACGCATGCAGCCTTGCAGGCGCCTGAAGAAGCTGACACCCAGACACTCAGCAGCAAGGCTGACCTTACCACACTCAAGCCCGCTCCTGGCGGGCATCAACCAGCAGGTTTGCGGCCCCTAAAGATTTGTGCGGATATAAAGAATACATGTGGACTGACTATCTTTAAGAATGGTGTGGGGGGAAAAATACAGTTTCTCGTTCAATGCTGAACAAGTTGATAACTTGGAATAGCGTGAGAAACTACAAGCAAAAGGTTCTAATGGAGACAAAATAATGAGAATCCAGGACACAACAAAAATGTCCTTAGGTAGAGTTATCAAGGATGCCTTACTTTCCCGTATAGTTTGGGCAGTTGTACAGTGAAAAAGAGTTTTTTGTGATCAATAAAGAATAATATGATACAGTCTTTGCCCCAACATCTGAAATTAACAAATGACTACTAGGAATAGCAATAAAGTCACTCTTTATTGTCAATTAAGAACACAGAGACTGTAAACACAAGGTAATTGTTATTCATGAAATAATTATCAAATAGATGCTCATATTTTCTATTTAAACATCAAGATGCTTTCAGTTTAGCATCTCTGTGTTTATAAAAATGCAAAATATGGTCTCCCTTGTCTTTTTAAAATCAGTGTTCAAACCAGTGCACCAATTCTGCTTTATGCAGGACAACAAGTACATGCTTTCTCAGGTCCTATGTTCACAGTCTACGTGGACCACAGTCGTGTTTAGGTGTGAATGAGATGTGGAAGTCAAGTACATCATATAGGAGATCAACTGTTTTCAAATATTAATTATCACTGTTCCCATAGCATGAAAATCATTATAGAAAATTCACACACTTTGAACTAGGAGAAGAGCTGCCCTCAGTCCTTTCGTGCCACCGTCTCCCACTGCAAGGGAATCACTAGGAAAAAAATGTCCTACTTTTTTGCAAACTGACAGGCTCAAAAGTTGCAGAGAGGAGGAAACTATAAAATAACCAAGGAGGACAGACCCTTGAGAGCTGATTGTCACCCAAAGTAGTCAGTTCTGCACTGATCAAAGAATTCTGCCTCTGACTCGCTAGCTCCACTAATAAAGGTTCTATTAAGATTAATCAACCTAGTTATAATTTAAATGCCACTCCCAAAGTGTGGCTGGATTATCTGCTTAACAAGAGAAATGAGTTTCCAGGGGAGGAAAGAAGATGGGGAATCTGAAGAAGGTGAGATGGGGGCCTGAAAATAGCACTTTAGAAGGGGAGAAATGAGTGACAGAAAAGAAGGTGGGACAAGACTAAAGACAATCCTGGCTGCTTTTAAAAGACCCAGCCCTATGTCTAAATAAATTTTTAAAAAGCAAAAACAAACAAACAAAAAAAAAACAAAACAAAACAAAAACAAAAACAAAAACAAAAACAAAAACAAAAAAAACTTACTTGGGGCTGGGGATTTAGCTCAGCGGCACAAGCGCCTGGCTTGCAAGCAGGTAGTCGTGAGTTCGATCCCCGGTACCAATAAAAAGGAAAAAGACAAAAAAAAAAAAAAAAAGAATACTTACATTATTTTAGAGTCTTACTCTGGACCCAGAATTGATGAACTGTGCTTCCTTTTTATTCATTCTTTTGAGTGAATTAGCTAAATGTGGATATGGTGACTTTAGAAGAAAGAGTTAAAAACTCAAACTCAGTGAGGAGCAAAATAAATTTCCAATCTCAGAATATATGCTAATTTATGGACTATAATCCCTTTGTAACTGGCACATACCTGCACTCTCATATCAAAGCCATTTTCAGAGCATGCATACCTATATCATTGTGGAAACAGAGACTCTGACTGTAAATGAGAGACTATTTTATATCACCAAGCTGATGACCAAAAGGACTTTAAATGTGAAATAACCAAAGAGGCTTACAAATTTGGGCTAGTTCAGATTTGCTTTTACCATAGCAACTAGAATATTGCTAGTCATCTGGTAGGCACACGATGAATATACATGGAGTGTGTGCTGTGATTCTGTGTTTGATGTCTGGGGGGAAATGTTATATGTGTTAAGTGCATTGAAGCTTGACAGTGAAAAGGCTTAACCAAGTACAATGTGCAGCCTCTTCTGTTACAACCTTAGATTTTTTACTAATTAGTTTATATCTGATTGGAAAGGAGGGGATTATGTCAGTGTAATATCAAGTTTTGTTGGTTCTAAACCAATTTGATTTACTCTCCTGGCAAGGGAGATTTCATGAGGAAAATAGAATCATAACTTTCAGCCAGAAAATAAAAGAACTTGAGCTCAGCTTCTGCATAGACAGGAGCCCATCCACTTCTATTTTAAGAAAATTAAAATTGAGCACCTGCACTCTGGGAGGGGGCGCACCCCAGGGAGGTGCACCCATGCGTGGGAGGCTCTCCACAGGTGCCAGGTCCCATTTCCTCCTGGGTCAGCACTAACAGTCTTTTATCTTCATTTTTTCTTCAGTCCATGTGGTTTCACTGCCACCAAGACAACACCTCACTCTGTGCTCCGGTGAATTTTTTAATATTGCTAGAGGCAGCATTCAGCCTGGAAGCTTGGGATTCCCAAGTGATTTGTGATCTGATTATAGAGCTGCATAGGATCTCTCATCTTTTTTTTTTGGATTTTTTTTTTGTATCAGGAATTGAACTCAGGACCTTGCACTTGCCAGGCATGCACTGTGCCACTGAGCTGTATCTCTGACCCCAGGATCCCATCTTGTGCCTGTAAATGCATCTTTCCCACAGGTCCTCAAAGTTTTAGTACAGTTAGTACAGTTTTATGAAATGCATACATTGTGGTACAACGAATGTGCTTCACTGTATGTTCGAGTGTCTCACCTTCAGTAATCAAATGTATGCTGGCTGTCTGATCTTTGCCCGCATGTGGCAGGACTGGAGATGGTGCTGATGGCCCTTCTGGTTGCAGGTACCCCAGGAGAGAGGAGTACAGCCGCCACCTTTCCTGCAGACACAGCCTTCACCCCAGCAGCCGCCCTCAGCCCTGCACACAACAGCTCTGCTGCCTCACTTGCACACACCTCCAACATCAGCATCCCAGATAATTCCTCAGGTTTGACCAGGATGCCAGGTGTATTGGGCTAGAGATAATGAAATGGAAACTCCAAACTCAAATAAATGTCGCTTTTTCTATTTTACTCCAAATATATTCAGGTTTCTGGTTTTATAAACTTTCATACCTTAGTGCTAAATTAGGCAAAATAAACCTACCAGTAGATTTTTTCTGGGCTATACTGTATTTTATTATTATAAAATAGACATGAGATTCATGGCAAAGAAGAATGGACAATAGGCTTTAATAGCATATAGCTGCTTTAGGATCAAAGCCAGCTTCTTTAATTTTCTTGTCAGTTAATATGACTTACCAGTACTTTTTCTTCTATAAAAATAGTTATACTCATTTCATAAGACTAATGCAAAGAGCAATAAATAGAAAACCTGACAGGCTATGGACACTTTGAAAAAAATAAACTTTATCCCTATGAGCATCCCAAACAAGGAAATCTGTAATTGAAAAGGAAAAGAATAGTTCGAGGAAGATTGCACTAAAGGTAATAATTATATCAAAGAAAGAGCAGTTTTCCTTCAACATAGATAATGTTTTAGTTCGAATTCCTTAAAATATTACTTATCGGAAAGGGCAATTTATAGTTAAGTTTTTGGTTTGTTTTAAAGATGGCAAGTATCAGTTCAAATGAGGTTGCGTAGAGCACCAAGTCTCTTTATTGAAGAGGAGTCCCTTTACCCTTCGATATGACATGTATTAACTTGTATTCTTCTGTTCATTTCCTTGCAGATTCCACCTCTATAGCCACTGAACCTTCCACACAGAGCCCTGCAACAAGCACTCTCCCTCCAACCACAACAATAGGTGACAACCTTACTCCCAGTCACGCAGTCACATCACCCCAGTGCTCGGATCTGCACCCACAGAATCTCCCACTTCCTCTACCTTGGGCTGCTTTCTCAGAGAAGCTCAATTTAGTGTTTCAGCCTTGGGAGCTGGGGAAGTCTTACAGCCTTATGTGTGTAGATTAGGACAGGAAGTTCCTGTAAACGCGCCCTCCACCACGAGATTGCAGTAGCTCCCCCCCGAGAGAGGAGTACTTTATGAAAACATGTATGACAAACAATCTAAATTATTAGAAATTTTTTCTCTAACAGTGGGCTGGAGTATTGTTGTGAAAAAGACTAATTCTGTCAAAGGCTTTTTCCTTTCCAAGAGTGGAGTTTAAGTCAAGCAGGGAGGAAATTGGAGTTAAAGGACAGGGGCCTCCCTTGATGGCCCACAGCGATGGTGGCATCTGGCACCTGGCAGAGCCGAGACCACCCTACTCCTCTAGGTCCTTGCGATGCTGAGATTGGCAGAGATCTCTTAGCTTCTACATTGTTCAATTAAATGCATGGACCCACACATGACACTATTTATTCAGAAAGCAGTTTTGCTTGTAAAAATTACAATAAACAACAAGGCACCCTTTACGTGTTGTGTTGTCTAAAAAAGACAGGAACCTTGTTAGGGTTATAGTTGTATAAACCTACTTTTAGAACAACAGAGGGGATGGAGACCTTCTTTTCTAACAGTTTTACGAGCATGAATATTGAGGCATGTTGCCACACCACAATCAGATGTTTCACAAAGTGTTAATGCTAAAATGTTAAAATTTTATTGGATTAATTTCTAAAACTGTTTCATAGTCCTGGACAGTAGTGGAAAACTCTGCATTATGTGTCTCTATAGTTTATCAGGCTGAAATATTATAAATTACTTTTTCCCAAAATATATGCTAAAACCAAATTTAATAATTTATTTCCTTTTTCCCCCTGTGTTACAGTCCCTACTCCAACCATGACTCCATGTGGTAAGTTTCTTTGCTTTTCTTTTTTTTTAATGTGTGCGTGTATGTGTGTTTAGAAGCAATACACGTCACTTTGCAATTACAGTTTCCTTCTTCATTCCAAGCTGTCAAGCTAGGCTCACTGGTTCTAAATTTCTTAACATTAACTAGCTCTAATTTTAAAAGGCCAGTACTCATCAGGGACAAGATTTTTCATATTCAGACCTGATTTTGAATACCTGCATTAAAATTTACTAGCTAGACAGTTTGGTGAAGCCCCTGAACCACAACTGAAATATCTGCAAAATAATATGATAGCAAGCTTGCTTTGGGGAGGGGGCTAGAATTCAACTGATGATCAATACAAAATGTGGAAAATATTTTGAAAGCTTATCAGAAAGAGAAACTATTTGTCTTTATCTCTATTTTTATCTGTCTCCTCTGTCTCTTGATTTCTGTGTCTTTCTCTGTGTCAACTGTCTGTGTGGTCAGTCTCTATCACTACCTCTGTCTGTGTCTTTGTGTCGACTATTTTTCTGTCTCTGTCTCTCTGCCTCTCTCTGTCTCTGTCTGTCTCTGTCTCTGATTCTTTCTGTCTCTCTGTCTTTCTCTCGGGGCTGACAACACTGAAACCTGAAAACTGTGTCTGTCCTTTACTTACTCTCTTCCCTTTTTCTCACCAGAAACAAGGTCTGTCTACACAGTCAGGCATATCCTTCCACTCACTTCTAAACCTCACCACGGAAGCCACTGCCTTCAGGAGCTCTTTATACACTTAGTGCAAAGATCAGTCTACCTATATTCATGATACTAATGTGACCCTCTTGGGTTCAACTCTGTCTCTGTCTCCTCTGGCATCATTACCTGCTCAGCTCTTCCCTGAAGCAATCCACCTGCAGTTTTCCAAGCAGACTCTTAGACCTCTGTTCCTGCTCCCCTTCTCCTTCTGTCCTTGCAATTCTCTTCCTGCCCTGTTCTCTAGCCCCTGTTTTTATTTCTATGTATCCTGCTCACATGTAAAATACTGTTGAGACATCTTCTCAGGACACCCCTCTACTCCAAACAGACTTCTCTCTCTCTGTCACCATGTTATTTTCAGCCAACTCTGCCCTTCCTTGACTAGCAATTCAGTCTGTGTGCACTCGCCTGGCCATTAGATGTGCTTTTTAAAAACTGCTTGTGTCGCATTTGGTTTTGTATTCCTGGTGCTTCAGATAGTCTTTTCAACATAACAATGGTTCAATATTTTTTGTTACATAAAACAAATGATTAAATTAATATTTGCTCAAAGATATTTTTACCAGAGAGTAGAAATTGTTGACAGTGAATAAAGTCTAGGAGCTGTTTATTATTATTAATGATAATTTTACATTAACTAAAGGGTGAAATGAGGGCCTGGGGTCTCTGAATATTAGCATTCCAAATATTTGGAGAAATGTATAATTATATTTCATAAAACAAAGACAACTAAAGAGAAAAATATTTGTTCGATGCATTTTTTTTTTTATCTTTTTGGAGACAGAGTCTCATTATGCAGTTCAGGCTGGCCTCAAATTCTGTGTAGTCTAGGCTGACTTCAAACTCATGACAATTCTCCTGCCTAAGCTTCCCAAGTGCCAAGATTACAGATGTGTGCTGTCACATCCTACTTCTTGTCTTTCCTTTTTCATTCTTCTTTTATGCATCAACAAATAATTATTTAGTTGTTATTGATAACATATTGTTCATGTATCTGGATTTATGGTAGTTATCAAGTAAATAGACTGATTTGTGTTCTTGTGTAATTCATCATTCAAAAATTAAATATAATAACTAATATAAATTGATAAGCTGAAATTCTTGAAAGGTGAAGGAAACTACAAAAGAATGATATGGAGGCACCTCATGTATATCTACTTTCCATAATTCTGGGGATCTTTTAGTGATTTGACATTTTTAAGAATATATATTAAGGCATTTGTACTTGGTGTATATCTGTTTTCTCTGAATGAAGCATAAATTCTCATTTTTATTTCTTTTCAGATGAAAAATATGGTAATATCTCTGTGGAATACAAATATGACAGTCGGACTAAATTATTTACAGCAAACTTACTAGGTGCTGATTCTGTGAAATGTCATTCTCCTGAGTGTGAAAAAACATTGCAAGGACTACATGAATGTTCCCACGTTACAGTTCTAATAGGTGATGGTAATTGTTCTTCACCTATACATTTACAATTATATGTGCCACCAGGTAAATACAGAACCATTTCATTTTGCGTATGTGAAGTAACAGTACCGTTTCATGTGTGCATGTTGTGATCCCAGGAACTAGGATGGTGAGAGAACAGAATTGAAGGAAAGAAAGTCAAAAGTGGAAGTTCCTGCTTTCCTAACCAAGGAAAAATTACGAAGTAACACAAACCTCTTTATGTGCTTTGGTCACTTTTCTTATTTCTTTTACGGAGAGGTTCATGTAGATTTGATATAACTTACCCTACTAGATGACTGTGTACTAGCTTTCTCTTTTTTGTATTCTACTTAATTCAGGTCATTACATATGTGTGTACTCATTTGTTTTTTTTTATATACAATTTTATCATGAGTGTTAGGGAGAAATACAAATTTAAGATTTGATGTTTATGAAAAGAAACAGTACACTCATAAAAAAGTAAGTAGCTGGGCATGGTGGTCCATGCTTGTGATCTCAGCACTTAGTCAAATGCATTTTGGAAAAAGGATTCAGAGACTGTGTAATTGCTTAAAATATCTTGTATAATTAAAATTTTTGAGATTACTAAGAAATTTAATACCTCAAATATTTTAATACCTCAAATCCATCTAACTTATACATTTCTCTATGATACTATGAAATAAGTCATCATTTCAACACAGAACCTGCCAATATTTAAAAATGCCTTCCCTACCAGAGAAAACTCTAGTATTTTGTGTAACAATTGATCAGTCAATACAGTTAACAGAACCAAAAGTTAATAAAGAAATATAACTAAGAAATCAAAATGGAATCTTTAAATGTGCAAATCTATGCTTGTATTTAGATGTTTTAAGTTTCATTTTTAAAAGTAGCATAATTCTAAATGAAGCTGAGCTGTACAGTATTGAAATAAGAAAAAATATAGCATTGTTTTCCATAAAGTGAATCTTGAATGTTTGAACTGATAGGTATGCTAGTTACCCTGATTTTATCATTATTATACAATGTATACATGTATCAAAATATCACCTTGCACATCACAAAGTTGTACAATAATGTGTAAACTAAAAATAAAACTTAATAATAAACTATGTAAACCTTGAGAGTTATTGATTTTTTCAAAAACACTATAAATCTTGCCAAATTCTATGTCAGTGACTTTAATTGAGAAACTTTCATATTATGTACAATTAATCATCTATTTCTACATCTTTTTGACAGAGCATGAAAAGTTTAAGTTATGTGACCGTACACCACACGAAAGAGCAAATACTTCAATTGTTTTACAATGGGAAAAAACAGAAAATTTTAAATGCAATGAAAGTTTCACATATGAATTTCAATGTGGTAAGAGTGTGACATTCATCACTGATTTTTTTGTTGTAGAAATTGTTCTAGATATTATTTTTATGCTTTTTCTTTGTTGTTTGTCTCTGGTATGTTTGAAGTGAAATAATTATTATCTAAATCATTCAAACAAATTTACAAATTTGAAAAGTAAAAGTTAATTACTTTATACAACTTTTTTGATAATTGCTATGCATCAGTCATTGTTAAAGAGATTATGAGAGAAAAGTGTTATAAGGGAGTGGTGATACATACACTCCATTAAAAAGAAAAATTAGATTATTGGTTCAACAGTTTATGTTGTCAGGCTTCTGTCAGCAGAATTCACACACAGTTTTATGCACACTTATTTAGCAGGAAAAGAACAAGCACTCACTGGAATGAATTTGGTTTTGCATTGAGATAACATTACTTTTTCAGTGTATTAAAATTTAATGGAATAGACTCTTCTATCCTCAGCATAAGTCCAGACTGTATTTGGCAAAATAGATAAACATATGTATGTACACACATATACAAGTGTACATGTATACACACATGATGAAGTGTGGTATCGATTATAATCATCATGTTAAGGAGAATAAGTGACTATGACTAAAGAAGTATAAGGAAAGTAAGAACAAACATATTATGAGTTAACATTTAAAATTATTTATTTAGAAAATTTCCTTAAATAAAGGCTACTATGTGTTAGTTTTTCCATCACTAGGACAAAATACATGGCACCCACAACTTGAGGAGACTTTATTTTGGTACATAGTTTCAGAGGGCTCAGTCCGTGGTTGGTTGACTCCAAAACAGGCTGAAGAGCATGGTAAAAGGGCATGGCATAAGAAAGTGTCTCAACTCAAGGAAGCCAGGAAGCAGAGTCAGGGAGAAGGCTTCCTCTCAGTGATCTACATCTTTCAAGCAGGTCCCATCTTCTAAGAGTGCATTCAGCTTTGAACTCATTGGTGGCTAATCCATTACTGAATGTAGTGGATGATCCAGTTACCTTCTGAAATCCCATGTCTTAATGATCCAGTTACCTTCTGAAATCCCATGTCTGAACATGTGTGATTTTGGGGGCATTTTAAGCATAATAGGCTGCCAACGTATAATCTAAGTTTTTTGTATAGAATCGTAAGGCTTCATTCTATCAGTTAAAGTAGAATCACTCTTAAATTATACTAGTAAATACTTTTTTGAAAGTCAAGCAAAGCAGAATCATTTTCGAGATCTTTGACTTATCATTTGAACCACTGGCATTTTTAATCTAATGAATATTATAGCACTATAAACAAGAAAAAGAGAAGATAAATGTATATATCTGTATAAAAAAGAAAATAAATTTGTATGCTAATATACTATGTGTAATATTTATTTCTTTCAAAAAATGCTTCAGGTACTTCAGTGTCTCACAGTGAATCAATTCAATTAAATGATCTTCAACCCAGAACAAAGTATAGTTGTACTTCAAAAGTATACTATAATGGCCAGAAATACAGACATGAGAATAAATCTATTGTAACAGATTATGGAGGTGAGTATATTATTTAAATTTATAAGTAAAATTCCATAACCTTGTTTGTTCTTTTAACTTTGGGGAATTACAGAAAACAGTGAGACTTCAGAGAACAAATTTTTAAAACTGAATTTAAAAATAAATTAAGGTAAAAACTTGTGCCAATGTTTTTTGGTATTGTTCAAAATGTAATCTGTTACAATGTCATTAGAACCAAAATAAGTAAAATGTTTTGTTTTCATATTTAACATTTTATTTACCCTTCTTTTTAAATATTTTCTTCTTTTTTGGTATTTTTTCACCTTCTTTTCAGATCCTGACTTTGATAGAATTAAAATAAACAAAAGAAACTCATAAAGCAAAGTGGAAAACCTAAATATTCATGGCAAAATCGTAGTTACTGTTTTCAAATTGCCATCAGTTTAAGTAATAATATGACGATAATACATGATAATAGTATAACTGAAAAATAAGATTACAGAAGTTAATAGCATTTGGAAAAAATGGTTTAAAGTGCTAAAGTTCCACTAGTACTTAAAAATATGAAGAGTGCAACTAAGTTTAAATTTACTAGAAAAATGAGTCAATTCTGTGTTTTACAATTTATTAATCACTACAAGAAAAATTTTAAAAAGTCATTCTTTACTAGTAGTATGTAGAGAAATATTTTCATTTCTCATGAGTGTATGGCATGGGCTAAAATTGTTAAATCATATGCTAACTTTATATTTTGTGTTTTGGAGGATGGCCAACTCTTTTTGTAAAGTGGGTACAGTACTTTACATTCTCCCCAGCAATGGATGAAGGTCCCCGTTTCTTCACATTTTGATCAACTCTTCCTAAGACTATCTTTTGTATTTCAGCTGTGTTTATAGATGTAAAGTGGTAGATAATTGTGTTTTGCACTTAATTTTCTCATAATAGTGATACTGAGAATGACATTTTATGTTTATCAGTCATTTATGTATCATTTGTCTATTCAAATCTGTTGACTTTTTTTCAAATGATAATTTATTAACTTGGAAGTTTTTTTGTATGTTTTAGACAAAGTCTTTTGTTGCACATGTAATTTTAAAATACCTTTTTAATTCTGTGAGTGGTTATTTCCCTTTTTTGATAGTTTTTGAAGCATGAAAGTTTTAAATTTTGATGAATTTTGACTTTTTTGTTGTTGTTCCACTTCTGATATACATAAAAATTCACTGTCAAGTCTAGGGCCATGAAACTCTATCCTTATGTTTTTCTAATGATTTCATGGCATTAGCTTTAAATTTAGCTCTGTAATCTATCTTACATAAATTTAGTTCTGTAATACTTGTATCTAGTGTAAGGTAAGTATCCAGCTTCTTTCTTTTCCATTTGACTATCCGGTTGTACTAGCACAGGACATCAATTGTCCTAGTGAAAATATTATTCTACTTCCTATCAAAGTGTGTTAACCATACTTATCAAGAATTAGTTGACCAGAGTGAGTTTATTTCTGGGCTTTCAGTTCTATTCCATTAATTTACATACCAATCTTTAATCAGTACTAGACCATTTGCTACTGTTGACTTACAGTAAGTTTTAAAATTGAAAATTGTGTCATTTGATTTCATTCTTTTTCCTTAAGATTGTTAGGAATATACAGGAGACCTACAAAGTCTAGATGAGTTTTAGGATCAATTTATCAGTTTCTGCAAAGATTCCCACTGGGAAATTACAGTGAATCTGGAAATGACTGTCTGGAGAATGGTCATTTAACAATCTCAGTCTTCCAACCCAGGAACATAGAATGTCTTTTTATTATTAAGTGTTCCTTATTTTATATCTAAAATAGTTTATAGTTTTCAGATCAAGTATTTCTGTTGTTAGATTCATTCCTAATTTGCCTATTTTTGCTTATTATTTTCTCAATTTCATTTTTAGATTACACATTATTAGGATATAGAAATAACTGATTTTTCAGTATTAATCCTGGAATATGACACTATGTAGAAGTGATTTATTAATTATAATACTTCAGGATTTGTGACAGAGCATACTAAAGTGATTCTAAATTATTTATAGAAGAGATAGCTCAGGACTAACAATATCAGAAGCCAAGTCTTCCTATAAATTACTAAAATAATATAAACACAAGACTAATAAAACCACATAAGCATACACTCTCAACATGAGAAAAATTTAGTATTTTGGTATCAAGAAAATTGTTAAAATTTTGACAAATCAGTGCAATAAAGTAGAAATAATAGTTAACTAATTTTCTATGTGATTAAAGCACAGAAGTTCTTCAGGGAGAGGTGGGGTAATCATTTCAACAAATAATCTTGTCTTTTATGGGAAAATATGAGCATTGGTCTTTACTTTCTAACATAAAAATTTATTCAAAATGGTTCCTAGATCTAAAAGATAAAATTATAAAATATTTGTCAAAGATTTAGGAAGATATGTGTGTTCACTTGGTCAAAGGATACAGAAAGCAATAATCTTAAAAAATTGCTAAACTGTCCTTAATCAGGATCAAGTTTTCTCTTCTTTGAATGAAGTGATTAAGGGAAATAACCCATAGATTGTGAGAAAATATCTATAATTATCTTTTTAACATAGATTTTCCACATTGTGCAGAGATCTTTTGCTACAAAATAAGGCATGAAACAGCTGAGCTAAAAATGAAGAAATATTTTGAGCATGTATTTCATAAATAAAGATATACAAATGACTAATCCATGTATAAGAAGATGTGCAACATCTTTAGCCATATGAGAAACCCAAATCAAAGTAATATTATGAAATGATATTACAGATCCATTAAAATTAAAAACTGATAGTATTAAATTCCAGTGAGGATGAGATCCATCAATTTCACTCCAGATATTCCACAAGAAAAAATATTATGTCTCCAAGATAAAATAAACTCATTTGTAATAGCCCCAAACCTGGGAATAATTCAAATACACCAGCTTTTGAGCACAGATAAAAACATGGCTTACATTTACAATGGAACATTACTTCTATTCGTCAGCTTTCCATTATAGTAGTGAAACACTTGAGGTAATTAACCTGTAAATAGATAAAGTTTGCTCAGATCACAGTTCTAGATGTTTCTATCCAAGATTGGCTAGCTGCAACACCAGCTACCAATTGTGGAGAGCACATCATTGAGCAAATAGCTAACCTAATGAGTCATAAAGGAAAAAGAGGAAGACCCTGGTGCTCCTCAGTCTTGTTCAAAGTCATGTCCCCAATGATATAAGCATCTCTCATTGTGCAACACTTCTAAAGGTTCTACTATCTTCTAGGAATATCATGTTGGGGACCAGGTCTTTAACACCTGGAACTGGGGGAGCAATCAATGTTCAAATTATAACACTACTGATTAATAAAATAGAAGTAGCTACTGATAGAGGCAACAATGTGACTGAATTTCTAATTTCTAAATATTAAATGTGATATGCTAGATGTCAATCTTAGTTTTTATTTTCATAAAATGAATTAAATAGTGCACTTAATCTGAAAGTGTATCTGAAGATGTATGGGGTTGGGTGGACTTGAAGTGGCACAAAAACACTTTTGGAGATGGTAGAAATATCCTATGTCTTGATGATGGTGGAGGTGGTCACATGGATTTATGCATCCAGCATAATTCATTAAACCACACTCCAAATGGGCACTTCTTGATGTAAATTAAGCCTCATAATTCTTTAAAACATTAATGACATCCTTAATCTCAGTTTCTCAAGACTACTAAATTTTTCCAATGCTACAAATATTAGATTCTGGGCACAGTGATATCTAGAATTCTCAAAATATCTGAAAAATAATATACATTAGAAGAGGATGTTCTCAGATATCTACTCAGGAATGTTTAGGTTCCTTCATGCCACTCAAGAGTGACATACACTTTGTTCAAATTGTTTCTTCTGAAATAAATTTAGTAAACTCAATATATTTCTTTAAATTTTCTTATTAACTTATAATTAATGAAAATATGGCTGTTAATATTGTGCGCTTATAAGGACCACTATCACCATGCTTGGTTTTTCATCGACATATTCTTATTCTTTTAACAGTTCCAGAGAAACCTTCTATATCATTTTGCAATTCTACAGGACAAACTACAGCACAAATTCACTGGAATTCTCTTCCAAATTTATCTGGATTTTATTTGTCTTATCGGAATAACTCAGGTAATTTCTGTAGAATTTAATTCCGTATCTAGAAAACAGAAACAATGAAACTGAAAATAGTAGAAAAGTATATTAAACCAGTGAGACATACAACATCAGGAATGAATACCCTACGAGGATATTCTGTTTCCTTGCTTTTAGAACTGTTTCCATTCATAAAGGAATTTCTAGCTCTAGATATAAAAATAATCCCAGAACATCTCCCAAATTTTCTTTATTCTTTGCAGTGCATAACCTGAAAGAAAATGTCTGACACATAATTTTTCCTGTCTTCCAAATGTTATACAGATGATTTTCGCTGTTTTGAAATCATGATTCAAGCCACCAAAGAAAAAGTGAACACCTTTAAAAAATGAATCCAGTTAATACACAGAAGATATTGAGTATATATTGATATAGCTGAATATGTATCCATTTAGCTGCTTAGATAATCTAGCATACAGTTAGACTTCTGTTAAAATTAATATAGTCAAAGTGTGCTATGTCTAGGTCAGTCATGAAACCTCCAAATGAAGCTATTTTGGTGAACATCTCCTGGACATCTTAAAGTATCCAAAATATTTATGAAAAATGGCAGGGACCAAAGGAACATCACAGAGCAGGCTGCATCCCTGGGATCATCCTTGTTGCTCTAAACCTTTACCTGTAGGAGTAAACTAAACAGCTTGTAGAATTATATATTTGGAGGCATAAATATTACAATTTGAAGAGTAAAAAAACAATTGATATATTACAATGCATTATGTTTAGCTTTTTCTAGTTTTTTTTTTTTTAATTTTAATAATCAAACTACTGAAGCAATGTTCAAAAAATAGTTCTTGGCCCAAATGTGTACGGAGAAGAAATTATGTACAATATTTTTGAATTTCTGGTAACTTCAACAGTTAAGTTTATAAGATCGGAACAAAAGTAGAAATTGTGTTCTCTTCTTTTTATCTTTTTCACTATTCCTGGATGCTTTTCTCTGTTTCTTTTTTTTTTTTCTTTTTTAACATCTTTTCTTAGTTTCTAGACTTTCTCTTCTATAGAGTTGTTCAGTTGCTAGAGAGTGTGGTGGAAATGTAGTGTACATACTGCTCCTTTGTACTCTATTGCCCTTTTAAAAATCTGCATTTGTAAAGTATTTACATAATGTGGATAAGAAGGATGCAATCAATTAGTTATTACTACTGCAACTAGTATAACTCCTTGTTAGTTACTATTACTGAAACATATGGTTATGCAGCTAGACAGAAGAGAAGTGAGAGGGTTTCATGTGTATCCTTTTTCCAAAACCATTAACTGGTAATTGAGTCAACCTCCACCCTAACACATGCACCAACTCTTCTTACAGGCCATTTGCAGCAGCCCATAGTGCAGCATCTCTGGGGGCAGCGACAAGCATCCTATCACAATGAGCTCCTCTTTCATTTTACCTATCAGATTATATCATTGTTAAGACATTATCAAAGCAAGTTTTAATGACTCACTGTCTTTCAGGTAAAAATCAGTATTAAAATATGCCAGAGGGTCTTTGAAATTTGCAGTTCATGCTACTTTTTAATCAAATACTGTAGTTCATTGTTTCATAATTTATTTTAGTGTTGTTGTAGTCAGGGATTGTACAGAGAACAATTAAAATCAGGACATGGAGTTTATAATATTATTTATGATGGTCACCAAGAGTTAACACAAGAAAATGCAAGAAATCTGTCCACAGCACAAAAGATAAGACTACTTAGCCAAGGGCAAGAATCCCACAGCAATGTCCCACATGAGTCCATATGAAGACCCAGAGCTTATGACAGTACCTCCCATGAGTCCAACTGGAGGTCTAGAGCCCACAAGAAGGACTCACGTGTCTCTTTTATGGATCTGTGCTGGGAAGGCCCAAAGGTCAGCGGTAGAAGCTAGGAAGTCCATGACAACAGGGTAAAACAGTTGTAATGATAGGGTTCTATGCTGAAGCCAAGAAGTCACACTCACAACAAAGACCAGGGCTGTCCTAAAAAGCACCACAGCCATCCTCAGTGACACGGAGGCCCTGAGCTCCTGCAACAATAAGCACAGTCGAGAGTACATGTCAGGAAGCCAGCGTTCATCCTGGAGATTAAGCAGCACATGTCTTTCCCTCTAGAGCCCAGGAAGCAATGCTTGATGTAAGGACCAGAGCTTCTCTAGAAGAACCAGTGGCTCAGACAGCAACACTTAGGAGAACCCACAATGCCTCAGTACCTTAATGCCCAGCTTTTCCATGTCTCTATTTATTCTTGCAACTTTCCTCAGATGGGACATCTATGCTCAGCACCATGCTGATATAATCCAGCTGGCGTTAAGTTGACCACCAGTTTTTAATCCATACCAGTGTCTCTGGAAGCTAAGGATGTCAAGGGAAAGAAAAACTCAATTGGCAGTTATTTAGTTTTCTTGGTCTGTAGGGTGTTTTTATAAAATTCTACTTAATGATGTTTATTAAATAATCTTGTAATAACTGAGAGGGGAGTGGTGCATTACAAGTCATCATAATTCATTTCAGGAAACTGAGCCTAATAGAATTTAGTAAATATTCAGCAACTTAAACATTGCTTTTTCTACCATTGTTCTGGTCATGTTTTTGGCATATGATATCTCAGCTAGCTGCAGTGTTATGCCATTAACTTAATGTTGGTAAGTGACAGAGTGTATTTCCCAATAATTAGGGAAGAGGCCTTTGAAGATTTATTATATTCAAGGGATATATTTTTCAAAAATTATGGAAACCCATGTATACCACTCAAGACAAAAATGATGAGGATGGAAGGTACTTTATATAATGCTTCTTTTTAAAGAAAAATTAAATTTGCTTTTTTTTTGGAAGTACAAAATCCATTGGGTTTCAGTATGGTTACTCTATTTGAAATAGTGTTCAGGAAAACACTTAGAAGTAGTACAAGTCAGGAAATTATTACTGTGTTTCCTGAGGTGATTTCAGTGGAGAAGTCAGTGTCTATCTGGACATTTCCAGGACAATACATATAACTTCTAGGATGGGCATGTCTCTGTTGCCTCACAGAAAAATGTACAAATTCAATGATCTATAAAATTAAGTCCTTTATTTGTTGCATACAATTAATTCTGATGTCAGAGACCTGAGAAAAAGTGTCCCAAAACATAGAGGGGAAAAGAATATTCATGTAAAATATTTTGGCCTACGTCAATGTTTCCAAAGGAAAAGAACCAAGAGAATGGAATACTTAATGAAGTGGACTTAAGAGATTAGCTTGTATAATCAGAGGCTGGTTAATGGCTGTCCATGTGTGAGACAGCGAGAAAAACAATGACTGTTCAGTCTCAGGAACTGGAAGTCTCAGAAGAGCGATCAATGACATACTCCAGTCGGAGAGTGAAGGTCTAGAAGTTCCTATCAAGACACAGGTGCAAATCCACATTCAAAGGCTGAACAATTGGGAGTCTGAATCTCTGGGCCATGAGACACCTCTCTAAGAAGAGTTGAAGCTCTGTGCCTGTTTATGTCCTCTTTCTCCCACTTTTTGTTCCATCTGGGCTCCCAGTCTGTTGAACAGTTCTACCCACATTCAAAGTGGGTCCTTTTCATTAGATCCACTGACCTACATGCTAATCATCTAGAAACATTCTTACAGATGCATCCCAAAGTGTGCTCCAGTCATTTCCTAGGTATCTTTTAATCCCGTCACATTACCAACAAATATTAACCACTGTGTGGAATTTCAACTAAATAAACACTTCGTATCTTTCTAAGCACTGAAAACTTTGATGAATTACTGTTTTTAGAAAGCCTCCAATGACAGTGTCCTTGAACAATGCCTTGTTCAAAAATAAAACCAACAATTTGAATTCTGTCAGATATAAAAGCTTGATAGAAACATATCACTGAAACTTATTTTGGTACAGAGTGCTTGTGAGATTATATAAGCCAACAGTCAAAATTAGGCCACTGAAGAGAAGCCAGGTTGCTCTTAAAAATAGTCACAACTCTTGAATTTTATCTCAGCAGGAAGCTGTGCATTGTCCTAAAAGCCAGGATACCTGTACTTATAAGAAGATTCCAGAAATCATGGCCAAGAGGGCCCCATTTGTTTCTTTCTTGAACTCACATCTTTTCTGTCTTCAAAGAGAATCCTCAGAAAGGGCATAGAAAGACTGAGCTACCACACATACAACAGTTAACCCCAGCTTTGGAAATTTCTGAGAAATACACTCTTTTAATCAAGCTGAAACAGCTACCTCTTTTTACTATTTATACTCCCATGGTGATATGCTATTAATATGATATGCTATTAATAAATGCTCTACAAGTATACCTAACACAAGACATAAGCATGAGTTAGATCTTTTCCTACAGTGCTCCTGCTAGTTCAGTGCATATCAGGGCACACCAGTGAAATGAGATGTCCAAGACAAAAGGTGAAGTTTGCCCTGTTAGAGGCACTTGTTGCTTTTTTATCCAAGTGATATGTGAAATAGTAGAACTGAAGCACGGACCTGGAAATGTCAGGCCTGAGTTCTATTCAGTGTTCACACTCCCTTTTCTATGAGGTTCCAGATACATTACTTTGTATTACTATAAAATAAAGATGATATCAAGTGTGCCAACTTACAGGACTGTAGTGAGAGTCTTAAAAATTAATTCTAGAAACAATGCTTGGAATATGGAGTGAATGATTCATTGTTCATACCATTATTTGCATTACAATTTTTATTGTAACTGTAGGCCAGTGACACAATTACTTGCGAATCTTATTTTAATCCATCTTTTCTTATGTCATTTGTCTATTCAAAAATCTCAGCAACTAGTGACTTTTTCCCCTTAATGAATGCTAGCTCTTGTACCTGTTCAGATACACTTAAGTAAAGCCTCGTGTTTCATATGCCTCCCTGGCCAGTTTCCCTTGTCAGTTTTGTCCCTAATCTCAGCACATTTCTTCTTTCATTTGTAACATTTTCTTTTCTCCTTTACCAATTCACTTTTCACTCATCTATCACTGAACAGCACTAGAATGAGGGGTTTCCTCAGTTTCATGGCCTCTAAGAATTACTTAATTGTTCAAATTAATATTGTATAGTAAGTACACCTTACTATTGGTGAACAAGAGTTTTCTTCCCTGAAGCTTCATAGTAATAGTTCAGATTTATTTCAAAGGTCAGAGGCTAAGTTTCAGAAAAGATTTGATAAAAAGTTAAAACCGCCTAATTTAAGAATTGGATACTATCTACAGGAGATTGTGTTATCTCAGGAAGAAAAGAGCATCTTCATGAATGTATCTGAAGTTGTTAAATATTTTGTGTTCCAAATTAGTGATACAAAAAATACTTCTTGAGTATTTGAGTTTATGTATAACAATTAAATTTATTAAATATGTTTTCTGACAATTTTATGTACTTCTGAGTATCAAAGAGATTCTTATTTGTTAATCATTCTTTAGTTTGTAGTATTCTTGGAATGATACTATACAGAAAGCAAATTAAATATGTAGTGATCCTGACCTTTAGTGACTAAATTTTTCTGTTTTTTCACAGGAAAAGATATAGAGAACTTAAATCTGAATGAGAATCTGACAAAGCATAATTTGACATCTTTGGAATGTTATACAGACTATGAGGTATCATTATTTGCCTATGTCAATGCAAGAGTGCAACGCAATGGAAGTGCTGCATTGTGTAAATTTAAAACCAAATCTGGACGTAAGTTCTATGCTTAATGCTTCTTTTCCTGCTTGGTGAGGGAGAAAGAATGGACATTAGAGCTCACAGTACATCTACCTTTAGGCTTTATTTGGGAAATACCTTGACCTGGGACATGGTTAGCATCTAGGGTTTAAGAAAATTTAAAAATGATACCTGGGTTCCCTGCTGACTTCAGATATAGTCATTGTACTGTAAGAACAAAGCATGAGGGCACTTTAGTAAGTTTGTGCAATTTCAGGCACTTAAGTACCTAGTTAGGAATTTTAAAGCATGCCTGATGCTGACTTTACTATCTAAAAATATTAACGATAGGTCATGTAGAACCAATGTGTTAGGAAGTGTGAAATTAACACATGTTCACCTGAGAAAACTCTTCATAACATACAATACTTTGTTAGCGTTTTCTTCTTTCAGTTGTGCTAAATGGCTGTCATTTCATCTCATGTCACATTGTTCTACTAGAGATTGGAAGAAGAAATGGCTCTGAATGTAGCTGGGTCTATAGCTCCAAAGATCCCAAGCAGCCCTTGATAACCCTGGGTAGGGTAAAATATTCTCTAGGTCATTTAAATTATGGATTGAAAAGCTCAAGTCCTGGAGCCAAGTGCTTTTGTTGTCTTCCTGAGTTTCAGTGACATCACAGACAGCAAACAGAGTTGGTTCCTTGCTCTTGTAGGATCTTGCCGGTGTTTACCAGACTAAAGTCGATCTTTTAGGAAAGGGGGATTAGGATTGTATGGGGGGTCTTACAGGGTTTTATTTTCTCTTCCTCCACTTTTTCACGGCTTTCTTATTCTACACAGTCTCCTTCAGGGAGTTCATGAACTCTCACGGTTTAAAGCACAACCTGTATGTTCAGGCTAACTGAATGAACAGTTTATTTATATTTTAAATGCCTTGTTCTAGTTTTTTTTCACTTTTGTGCTGTCATACCTCCAAACTAATACTTTAAATACCTTATGTCTTATGCGTATTGTCCAGCAATTTAAATATACATAGAGAGTGATTAAAATAACCAGTCTTTTTTTATTTTATAGCTCCAAGCATGGTCAAACACCTGAAAGTAACACGGACATCAGATAATGGTGTGCATATCCAGTGTAGCCCTCCTGATAAGAAAAATGGCCCTTCTTTGATTTATATCTTAGAAATCAGACCTAAAAGTAATCAGCATGAAAGAAACAAGACCAGTAAGGCCTGCACATTTCATTTAGAAGATCTTTGGTATTCAACAGACTATGAGTTTCGGGTAAGTCATAATTTCTATACACACCATGGTTTCAATATATATTATAATTATTAATATCTAGTTCTTGCACAATATGAAGAACAATGCTCACAGGAGAGCTCCAATATCTAATGGAGTCAAATTCAAGAAGTTTCAAATTAAAAAAAAAATCCAAACTTTTTATCTCTTGAATCAAAAGCAGTGATTTAAAGCAAATGTTTTGTTAGAATATTTTACATTTTAAAAATATTTCCCTTGCAGGGAAATTACTCTTCTGTATAAAAAGCAAAATAGTGTACAACAGACTATTACTTTGTCACACATTTTCATTGCCCCTGCTTTTTGTCTTCAGTGATGTAAATTTTCAACTGAAAAACTTTTACAAGTATCTTATGGTTAGAAAATACTAGAAATAAGTGATAGAAAATATCAGTGAACATGAAGCAAATGCTACCCATATTCTCACTGTTTGTAAATTGTATTTTATGACATAATTTCAGAATGTATAATGCATTCCTACACATGATGTATATGTATTATCAGTATTGTGAATACATAAGCTGGTAAACGATATTTCACGTATCATTGTATCATGATCTCATTCCACATAAATATTTTAATATTATGTAATTTTTAATAGTTGTATAGGATTCTGGGATATGGTTTTATCATTTTTCTATTAATTGTGTTGCTCTCTAACATAAACAATATTCAGCGAACCCCACTTATTTTTAAATAGCCCAATCTTTCAATTGTTTTTTATAATAATATATGATTTATATTTATGAATGGGCTGTGAATATTGGGGATATCAATTACTATACTATAGGGTGAAAGCTTAGATGTTTGTCATGTTTCCTATATTTATAGTTAATCTTTTAAAATTATATTATTTAGATCTATTTTTAATACATTTAATTTATGCCAAAATTATTTTACTCCTTTTAGTGTCTTTGTATATCTGCTTTTGTTTGCTTTATATTAAATATTATGAGACAGCTGTTTATACTAGTGATGTATAGACTATAAATTGTATCCCCAGTGTGCCTTTACTATAAAAAAGTATGTGCATTTTATGTACAATTGTTGTAAATAGCATGTAGCTGCATTTCCTATTTAAAATAAAATGTGAAGATACTAATATTTTATTAGGGAATTGTATCTTAAATTATGAGTAACCGTATGTGTTGGATTTCATTTTTCAATCATTTTATTTACTGTTGCTCATTATAATTATATGCTAAAAATAAGCTAAGATTTTTTTGTATAACTTTTTGACTGCCTTTTAAAAATTTTGACAGCAACATATTGGTATAACTTTGAAGTTTTAACTTTGAATTAAAACAAATATGTATATTTTTGCTTTTTTGAGGCAGGAACTCACAATGAAGCTCAGGTTAGTGCTGAATTTGTGACAATACTCTTGCATCAGTCTCTTGAGTGCTGGGGCTGCAGGTGTGCATGACCATGCCTGGAAAATCTGTATTTTTTAATGAAAATTTTAAAAAATTACATGAGAAATAATGTATGCTTTACATTATGATACATAAGTTTACATTGGAAAGCTAAATTATTTTCTTTTTGTTACTGAAATTTAGATGTATTCCTCCAATGGTGAATATGAGGGAGAACCAGCTATAGAATTTTACACAACATCTTGTAAGTAATCACTGGGCTATTTATTATAGCTATATATTGACACTTATAATCCTATATGATATTATATCTATACTCCCATTAGGTGTTTAAGTTATAGATACCATAAATGTAGTATTTTAAGGTGTCAGGATAAATACAGATAAACATCATATCCCAAAGCAGTATTTTAAATGCAAACTGGGAAATTGTTACTAAAGGAGGGGTTTTTTTTCATAAAATATTTTATCAGAAGATTTATCTACACAGACTAGTTGTAATATTGTTTATGGAATTTTTACAAACTAATAAGATCGTTATGTTTTTATCCTAGTTTATTCTGTATCTATTCTGGCTCTGAAGTTTGACTTGTCAGAGGCAGGAGTTAGATATATGTCTGATTTATACTACTGAATATAACATTCCTTGGTGACAATATGGCTATTTAAATATGTATCCTTAATATTTTGAAATACTTTGGATTTAAAGTATACTTTGGAGTTAAAATAATGTTCAGACACATCCCACCACAGTGAGATTCATTTTTCCCCACATGAAAAGAAACCCTTAAATGAAATTTCATAATACTAGTGAAAACAACATATGTATGTCCCATTGCCCATACTTTGTGTAGCTCACCAAATAACTTCTTTTTCTCAAATAACTATTTTTAACTATTTCTCTTCTCATAGTTTCTTCCGTGTGTGTGTATGTGTGTGCGCGCATGTGTGTTATATACACTGTTCTTTTTAAAGTTACTAACATATTTGACTTCCATTTTCCAGCTTGTGACTTACTGTCCCACCGTATGTTGCCCCCAAACTTGAGACTCAGGAATTCTGAGTAATTAGCATGAATATTTTTTATCATGATACTTAGATCATTGCTTCCTCTTCTTTATTTTCCACTCTTCAAAACTTTTTGAAATTGTTCTGCCTACAATCACTCTTCCCTCTATTGCTTCTGCTAATATGGAGATATATCATTTTCAGTTGTTTAATATTACTTAGCCCACAGAATACATTTGAAAGTTTGACTATTTTACTAATATGTTTATCAAAACAAAGTCCCATATTACTTAATACTTTTGTATCTCCACCACAGTAGAGAGGGTTCCTTTCTCCTCGTGGTCCCATCAGCATTTGTTATTGTTTTTTTTTTTTTAATTGTTGTTGTTGAAATCCATTCTTTGTGGGGTGAGATGGAATCTCGGTATTATTTTAATTTGCAACTCTTGAATGACCAGTGATGGTGAACTTTTCTTATATGTATTTATTTGACACTTCTATTTGCTCATTTGAAAAGTGCATATTTTTCTCAGATACCCATTTTTGGATTGAATCTTTGAATTTAGAAAGGTCTGATTTTCTTCAATTTTTTTATATGTTCTAGCTTTAAGTTCTTTTTTTCTGAGGGCCAGCTGGTTATAATTATTTTTTCAGTCTATAGGTTGTGTTTTTACTCTGCTGGTGATTTCTTTTGCTATGTAAAAGTTTTTTTTTAATAAGGTGAGATTCCATTTATTTATTCTTTATAGTTTCCCAAGTGATCTGGGCTTTATTCATGAAGTATCTGCCTACATCTATGTCTTCAAGATTTTTACCTTTTTTCTCTTCCAGTAGATTTAATGTTTCTGTTTTAATATTTAGATCTTTGGTCCATTTTGACTTAACCTTAGTGCATTAAAAACATCATACTACAGCAATATATGTGCACCCATATCCATAGCAACACAATTTATAATAGCTAAATCTTGGAATAAAGCAAATGCCCATCAACAATAAAGTAGATAAAAAAGATGTGATTTTTTTAATGCAATGAAGTACTACTTAACCATAAAGAAGGATAAACTTGAGACTTTCATAGTCAAATGAGTGCAACTCGAGACCACACTAATAAGTGAAATAAATCAGACCCACATATGTAAACATTATATTGAAAGACTAAATAAGATCCAAAATGAACAATCTATATTGTGAAATAGGAAGAAGTTGTTCACAAGGAAAGAGAAACTGGGATGAGGAAAAGGAGTAACGGAAAAAAAAAGGAAAAAAAAAAGCCCTTATATAGGATAATTGAGATAGTTACCTACTAATTTCTCTTAGTTTGTTGAAAAGAAAGGTTTGTGTTAATATTGTTTGGTCAATTTTGCATGCCTGTATCTTGTACTCTAAGCAACTACTTTGAATTTAGCAAAATGCAATGTATTAGCCACTGCTATTCTCCTATTATCTTGTTTTTTTTTTTTTTTTTTCCCCCATCGGTACCAGGCATTGAACTCACGACTGCCTGCTTGCAAGGCAGGTGCTTATGCCGCTGAGCTAAACCCCCAGCGCCTATTATCTTGTTTTGAAATTTTGTTTTACTCTCTTTATTGTTTTTTCTTTTTAAATAGAAAATAGTTTTATAGCATCAGTCATAGTAATGATTAGGGATCGGAGCACTGATTTACAGTTGGTCAGTATAGTTTCTTGCAAAGTGTCACTTCAGGGCATTCTATTTTGCCAGTAATATCTTTTCTTAGTAATAATGCACTTGTGGAAATATAATGCATTTATATAGCTACAGTCATCTAGCCATCCATTTTCCATGTACATGTAGGGTAAATACACCCTTAAAGAAGATAAAATCATTCCTGCTTTATAGATGAAGAAACAAGTTTAGATAATTTAATCAATATATCATATAAGTCAAAGAAATGACTGCTGCAATCCAAATTCAGGTTTTACTGTCCCTATCTAAAATTAATTTTTATGTTTCGAATTATAGAATATTTGTTTCAAGTTATAGAAAATTTGACTGTAAGATGAAGTGTTTTTGCAGCTATTGCTTGGGTGTGTCATTCCATCTTTTGGATTATAGAACTGCCTCACACATGAGAAGACCTCTAGTAACCACAAAGAAAAGCAGGCTTCTCGTGTTTCCCACTTCGATTATCTTTTCCCCGACATAAGGAAAATTTTGTTCCATCATTCCTTTGTTTGTCCCTGCGATGCCTAGTTTTCCCAAATGGAGATGTGAATTTCTGAGAACTGACACTTACATGGTATTTCTTGCCATTTTCCCTTTTACCCTTCACACGTCTATCATCTTCTGACTTACATTGCTGCTTGCATACTTACCATATTTATTGTGTTTTTGTGTCTGTTTTCTCATTAGAAAGTAAGTCCCATGAGAACAGGTATCCTGTTTTATCTTCTGTGATGTCTTACAAAATTTTCAAGTTTAAATTAATTTTGACATACATAGAAATGTGAAAATTATAAATATTAGTGGTGTAGCAAGTGATGTTTCAATTTGTGTACATGTGAAACGTGTGTTTACTCATATATTTATCATTTCTTTATGGTTAAAATCTTTTAAAATCATTCGTGTAGCTTTTTGAAAAGTATAGTACATTATTGTATTGTTATCCGCAACCTGTACTGTAGCATCCTGGAACTTGGTACTCCTAAGTGTAACTTAGTATCCAGTGATCAAACTTTGCCCAATCTTCCTGCTCCTTCTCACTCTAGTTTCTCATAGCTACTATTTGCCACTCAATGTCTGTGGTATCAAATTTTTAAAAATTCACTTGGTAGATCATATAGCTTTTGTCTTTGCCTGAGTTGTTTCACTTACATAATGATCTCCAGTTCTATCCATGTTATTAAACAGAATTGCATTCTTATGGAGGAAGAGCATTCTATAGTGTGTACGTATCACTTTGTTTATCCCTTTATCGGTTGATGGTCACTTAAACTTTTCCAGTTTTTGGCTATTCTGAATAATTCTGCAGCAGGCATGGGAGTGCAGGTGTATCCTAGACAGGCTGATTTCATTTCCTTTGGATTGCTGGATCACATGGTAGTTCTGTTTTTAATTTTTGAATAACCTTCATATTAGTTTCCATAATTACTGTGCTACTTTACATTCTCATCTTTAGTATGCAGGAGTTCCTTTTCTTCCATATCTTTGCTGGAATAGTCATATTAATAATACTATTACTGCTGGGGTGCTGTGATAGCTCACTGAGACTTTGATGTGCATTTACCTGATGATTATTGATCTGTTGGCCATTTGTGTGACTTGTAGAAATATCTATTTAGCTCTCTTGCCTATTTTTAATCACACTATCTTTTATTGTATTTTGCTATCAGAAAAAAGTTTTTGTGCTTTTGGAATTCCCTATGTACTATATTCAGTTACCAATCCTTCATTGGATGCATAGCTTGTAAATACTTTCTACCTTTCAGTAGGCTGTCTCTTTGCTTGTTGATTACTTTCCCTGGTGTGTAGATTGCTTGATGTACTCCTATTTTTGCCTTTGTTTCCTGTTTAGGAGTTTTGTCCAAAAAGAAATCCTTGCCCACTCCATTTCTGAAATCTTTTTCCTGTTTTCTTCCCATGGTTTCATCATTTTAGATCTTACATTTAAGTATTTCATCTATTTTAAAATGATTTTGTTATTGGTGAGAGATAGCGGTCTAATTTTATTTTTCTTCTACGTTAGGATATTCAATTCATTCAGCATCTTTTATTGAGAAGACTGTCATTTCTTCAACATTCTTATCTACTCTGTCAAACAACATTGGGGTACGGATGCATGGGTTTACTGTTAGACTATCTGATATTGGTCTAGGTACTTGCATTTATTTCGGTATCATACTCTTTTGACTATACAGTTTGTAGTACAGTTTGAAGTTGGGTAAAATAATGCCACCTCTTTTGTTCTTTTTGTTAAAGATAACTGGTTATCTGGGGATTTCATGACGCATATAAAGGTTAAGATTCTTCTAGTTCTACAAAGATTTTCTTTGGTGTTTTGATAGAGATTGCAGTAAATGTGTAGATTGCTTTTGGTACTGTGGACATTTTAATGATCTTCATTTTTCTAGTCTATGAACATGGGATGTCTTTCATCTTTCGTATTCACGTAATTTTTATATTAATTTATTATAATTCTCATTATAGAGATCCTATACTTTTTGTTATATTTATTTCTAGTTTTCTATAGTTCTTTTTATGTTTTATTTTTGTCCTTTTAGTTTAGTTTTGCTGTGCGGCCCAAGTTGATCTCAAGTGCATAATCCTCCTGCCTGAGACTACCAGTTGTCTGGGATTACAGGTTCCCACCACTGCATCTGGTTTTTAGCTTTTTTTTTTATATTGGGGATCAAAGTCATGAGCTCACACTTGCCAGGCTGGTACTTATGCTGCTGAGCTAAATCCCCAGCTTTTTGTTGTTTTAAAGAAAATTGTTTTCTTGATTTCTATTTTGGATAATTTGCTATTGCATTTGTTTTCATTCTGGTTTCTGAGATATCCTGAGTATCTGGAGAAGTGTTTGGCAGATGACAATACTCAAAATATGGTGAAGCTACAGGGAAGAAGGAATCCTTCTATATTGTTGGTGGGAATGTAAACTAGCACTACCATTATGGAAATCAGTACAGAGTTCTCCAAAACTTAAAACTAGAAATTCCATTTAACCCAGCTGGTCCCTTTCCAGATACTTTTCCAAAAGAGTTAAAGATAGTATATTACAGTGATACAGGAATATCCATGTTTATAGTAACATGATTCATAAAAGCTAAATTTTGAAAGCAGTCATCAAGAGATAAATGGGAAAAATGTGGTGTTTACATATATTGCAGCAAACATTATGTACTGCAAACATGTACTGATAAAAATAAATAAATAAAAATTTTTGTTATTGTTTGGATTAGTGAGCAATTAGGACTTGCTATATTCTAAGCATTGTACTCTTTATTATGAAACAACCTATTTAACCACATTGTAGTAATTAAGGAACGGAGATACAAAGTAAGGACCCTGGCCAAGTTCTCAGTTAAAATGTGGAGTTAGGACTGGAATCTAAACCTCTGGAGCTGAGGTTCTTGAGTTTTTGCTTTATTCTGTTGCATTTTCACTGCATATAATGCCAAATATAATATACTAATTCAGGGCAAGGGCATTTATAATACAAACCCTTTTCTCAGCCCTTTCCAAAGCAAACTATGTGATTTCACATTAAGCTTTAGAGAAAATATAACTCAGAGCAAGTCTTTACTATCAAATGACATATTTTTTGTCTCTTGGTTAATTGATTTCATACCTCAAGGAGCTTGCAAGAGGGTTTATCTTTGTGGGTCAGAAGGCTTTCTCAGCTCCCTGGGAGGCAGCTCACTTCTGCATACAAAGTTAAACAACATGCTTTTTTCCCTGAAAATCAGAATGGCTGGATTACTTACTTGATCCTTTTTAAATAGAGTGACAGGAAGAATTAAATCTAAATGATAGTATTTCATAAAACAACATTACTTAATGGAGGACAGGAACCTGATCTCTTGTTTTCTACTTATTATCTTCAAATAGAAATGTTATGTGTTGTGAATAATATAACCAAAATCATAAAAAAGAATTTATTGTATTTAGTCTTATTCTGAAGTTATTATTTTGGAAAAATGAATAGAAATTAAAGTATTAAACTGAAACATCTTTAAAAGTGATTATTCAGTCAAACAAAATACATGATATCATGAGCTTTCCTCATGTATTATTTTTTAATTTCTAGATAATTCCAAAGCACTGATTGCATTTCTGGTATTTCTGATTATTGTGACATCGGTGGCTCTGCTTGTGGTTCTCTATAAAATATATGATCTGCACAAGAAAAGATCCAGGTAAGAATTGATCTGGGTATAACACACAATATAGTTATTATGTGAAGACTCATATTTATAATGCAAGGAGGGAACCACTTCAATCCATGAGAGGAGGATGGCACAAGGTCCATTTGAGAATTGAACTTGGATTGAGGATCTTTATTATGGTGGTTATGGTTTATGTTAAATGTTCACATTTTTTACATTTGCTGATAGCATTTGACTTGTTTTACTAAAGACGGATGAAAACAACGTGACCATCGCTTAAGTACAAAGTGGGTGAAGATGTTCTGGGAATGGTAAAAACAAAAGAAAAGAGGGCATTTCTGGGGAGGTGCACTTAGTTCTTTGGTCAGGAAGAGCTACACTTTTGTAAACAAGGAAGATTGAAACCTAGTTCAGTTACTTATGAGGTTAGCTCAGCAGATCGCATCCTCAGTGGATTTTCTTCTCTCTTTTTCCTTTACCTCCAATCATTTTCTTACCTTGCTGCCTTTCCTTTCTTTTTTGCTCTCTTCTCCTATTTTTTCATTTATCCACTTTTCTCCATTATTCCTTCCTTCAATACATCCATTTAATCAAATTAACTCAATTAAATGTAATGACAACTGAACTCAATGTTTCTTAAGAATGTAGAAATTTGTATTTTTTATTTTTTGTAGCAATTTAGATGAACAACAGGAACTTGTTGAAAGAGGTAAGTATGCATATTTTATTTACTGATGAATATCCCCTCTCCTTCATTTGAGTTTACTTATTTGTTTAAAAGGAACTGGACTTTTAAAGTTAACCTGGACTTCTTCCTTTGCCGTCACAATGATGAAAATTAAATTCATTTATCCAACAAGCAATCATCTGTGAAGTTCTTCTCATGTGCCAAATACTGCCCAACAAACTAAGAAATACAATGACCACCAAGACTCTCCTCTTAAGGAAGCTAGGAATGAATAGAGGAAGATAGACTGGCAAATTAGGTAGTAATTTATAAAGATCATAATAATTGAACATGTCTAGTTTTGCACAGAGATAGAACACTGACTTTGAGAAGGATGTAAGTCAGATCTGCTATATTTTGGGGGACATTAGACCAGATGAAGAATGAGAGAGGGAAGAGCAGAATGCCAGTCAGTCAAAGGGATGAGGAAGTAGTAAGTGTCCTCAGGTCCTTACTGTGTGGGATGGTGGCTGTTTCCCTGTGGGCACACTTGTGGACTGGACAAAGGACAGCAGTTTGACTTCATAGAGAAAAACAAATTGCTGATTTTATAAAGGAGGTTTTGTTAAATAAGGTTTATAATGATTAATCTTACTGACCTTCTGTTACACAAGATAAGCAGAATTCAGAACACTATTAGCTTATATTTGAAGGGACTTCCTTTGTGATAACAGGTACCCATTTATGTATGGAATCACTGAAGTCCTTTTTTGACTTTATTTTCCTTTGAAGAATGTATTACTACTTGACACATTTCACATGTTTCTTGATTGTCCTCTTGCAATGGGCATGTATGCTTTGGGGGGACAGGGAGCTTTTTCTTATACACTCACTGGTCTATCCCCAGTATTAGGTGGGTGTATGGAATTCAGTACCCATCAATAAAGAGATAAATAAGAAGAAATAAATTATCAAGTCTTGCTAAAATGAGGGAAAAATGAAAAACAAGGGAGTCACAAGCACCTGAGCAGAGGAGGAAAATTCACTTCAATAAGTCAAGGCTGGTTGGAGAGGATCAATATGTTTTATTTCAAAATTGATACTGATTGCACATTGCAGTGCGTTAGAATTTACTCAGTAAACCCCCTGAAATTCTGCAATGTGTCCTCAGTTCAGAATGAATAAATCATGGGGCTCTCTTGAAACACAAAGAAGCTACAATGCTTAGTCAGTTTGATAATTTTGATTAGATAGAAAGTTTCCAGTGACAATCAGATAAACGTGCCACCCTCACACACAAATGTCTATTTTTTCATAAATTGTTAATTAACATGAATACTGAAAGAAATGCTACCAAGAGGACAGTGAAGCAGGAGAAAGACACTTTTTACATATATGATACCTTATTTTAAAAAATTCTTTTGCTACTTTTATTTACTAGTTATATACACAGTATTGTACTTGATGGTTACAATGCATTTTTACTATATAGAAACTTATTTGACAAACATATATATTTTATATTCTGGAGGCACAACAAATGAATGCAACTTGCTTCACAGATGATCAAATTAAGCTTACTTCATAAAGGAACAGTAAAAAGTCCAGAAGAAGCATGAAGTACAATAAAATTGAAGTAACTGATTTATAGATGAATATTTCTATGTAAGAATTCCCAGGTAGAATATTAGGGAGAATAAAAGAAACTGAGGATTAGGTCCAAGTTTAGTGAAATTTGTGTGCACATGAAAAAGACAGACTGAACCACAGTCCCGAGTCACTTATTTCTTTGCAGATGAGGAAAGACAGCTGATGAATGTGGAGCCGATTCATGCAGACGTCTTGTTGGAAACCTATAAGAGAAAAATTGCAGATGAAGGTCGACTTTTCCTGGCTGAATTCCAGGTATGTGTCATTCTTCATACAGGATGAAAAATTCTACTCTTTGGTCAAGAGAACTCCACTTTAAATGTATCTTTATGACCATTTGCCTTTATAATTTAGCCAAAATAATACTATAGTATAAGTAAGTCAGATATTATTAGCAGCTATTCATAGGCCAGAGGAGACAAAGGATGATAGGTTCATCGTATAAAAGCTAGTAAATATTTTAGAATAAAGATTTATTATATCATTATCAAGTATAAAGTTATGTCACAAAAGCTACTTGGTTAAGTTTGTACTCGTACTCAAGTAATTATCCAAGCATCAGTTTTAGATGAATTTTAAGGTTGCACAACATCTGATTTTAAACTTTTTTCATGATATTTGTCCTGAAAATAATCCATTATAATTATTAAGAAAATGATATTTGTACACCATCTTAATAATGTTGATTTCAATAACTACATAGAAGTAGTTTAATCAGTATAAAGAGAATGTTTTACAGGATGACTCATTTGCTGAAAATGATGATTGCTAAAAGAAAACTATTTTTCCAGAATCTGCTGTAGCCGAAAGCATGTTTCTTTGTGTCTTTCAGAGCATTCCACGGGTGTTCAGTAAGTTTTCTATCAAGGATGCTCGAAAATCTTTTAACCAAAATAAAAACCGCTATGTTGACATTCTTCCTTGTAAGTATTTTTGAAGGTTTGAATTTCTGTATATTTAGACTATTTGACTGCTCATTGTTTCACTTATTTGTTTTTATTTTTCTTAAATAGATGACTACAACCGTGTCGAACTCTCTGAAATAAATGGAGAAGCAGGGTCAACCTACATAAATGCTAGCTACATTGATGTGAGTAAAAATGCCAAATTATTTCATATCTTCTTATTTCATTGGTAATTTGGACTTTTTTTTATCCATGCATTCCGTTTAGTTCCTTTTGGCCTTTGTAAAGTTTTACAAATATACTAAAATAGTATAACAGTAGTCGTTATGTGCCTGTCAGTGCTATGTGAAATACAAGACTTTTGTGTGTGTGCAAAAATAGATTAGACTAAAACTTCCCACACATTGGCACATGTAATATGTTGAAACTGGACAAAATGGTGGATCTATGTGTCCCATAGTAACCCCACGTCACATGCACATATACTAGCCTCACTGTGTAAGTGCTGATTTAGAGGCTCGGCCTAATAAATTGTATCATCCTTCATCATGCAGTTAATAAAGGTTTGATCTAGGTTTCATCTCAGGTCTGTCTAACTCCAATCAAACTTCAGTTAACACTCCCTTGCAACAGTGACCATCTTCACTGGCAGCACAATGCATTTATCCAAAAGTGAAAATACTTGCCTGGGATATTGGACCAAAATTTTAAGATTTTTACCATTGTTAAATAAGTAGTGCTTCACAAGAATTAAATTTTGATACAATATAAAAGCATACACGGACTTTTAAAATATCTTCTCATGCAATCTACCATTTGTTTGGTGTCTCCACCTACCAAAGGAATAAGTTTTATCTTAGCTTATTTCTCTAGCTAGTTTCTTTATGCATACATAAACAAGAAAAGAGCAACATTTGTTAACACAATATTCACACTGCTCTGTATCTTGCTACACACTCATATACTATACATATATATGCTATATACACTATATGGCTATACATGTATATATGTGTGTATATATATAGATGTCTTAGTTCATGAACTTGATTTTTTCCATGATTCTGGTCCAAAACTGAGTTGGAACGAGAACCAAATTGAATTTGATGGTTAGATGCAATGGTGTCCTTATAAGAAAATTTAACTTGGTTTTCTTCCAGTTCAGTTTGTGACCAGAATTGTGAAGACAATTGAGTTTGTGTACTGAGGTAGCATTATCTATATCTATATCTCCATACTATAATATCTATCTATCTATCTATCTATCTATCTATCTATCTATCTATCATCTATCTATCCTGTTTTCTTTATTGTTATCTACTGCTATTTCATCTGTGTCTATATATTGTATCATTAAAGAACAGGAATCAGCAAATGTTTACTATATGAGGCAAGATAGTAAATATTTTTCACTTTATGCACCTATCATTTTTGTCATCTTTGATTATTTCACTCTATCTTGAATGGACAAGCTTCCATTGATACAACCTGTAATGTGACTAAGTTACAAAACTTGGTTACAAATGAAGCTATACTTGATTTAGTCTGTGGGCCATAGACTGCTAATCCTGGTCCTGCAACATTTTTATATCTTTGCATTTTTATAGTCTAACTGCATTTAGGTTTATCCCTTTCTAATTAATGAACATTAAATGTGGTTTCTAAACTTCTATTACCAAAAATGTTAAGAATGAAACATTTTGACTCATTTTTCTGCAATGATTTGCAATATATCCATAGGTTAATTTTCTAAAAAATGGAACTGAAGGGACAAAGACCATACACATTTGTAATTTTTAAAAATTTCAAATGGTCCTTCAACTGGGGACTGCATCAATTCTCAGTCAACCAATGACATATGAAAGTGTTTATTTCCACACAGCTTTGCCAAGTGAATGTGTTATCAAAATACTCCTTTGACAATTAAATAGTGGAAAAAGTATTTGTTATGCTATTATATGTTAATTTGTTTGTTTGTTTTGGTACCAGAGATCAAACTCACAACCTTGTGCTTGCCAGGCAAGCGCTTATGCTGCTAAGCTAAATCCCTGGCCCATAATTTGTAAAATAGTCTTCAAATTTTTCTCAAAGAAAAAACAATTGAAATTGAAACTTTTTTGTCATCTTCATCGTTGTTGATCTACTCAAACCTATACAGTTTCAGTGAATTACAGTCAAATTTCACTTTATAATTTTTATTTCCACAGTGTAGTAGACTCTTAGTCTGATACAACAAAGGATCACAAGCTTGTTAGCTTAAAACAACACAAAATTATTTTATCACAGTTATAGAGATCAGAAAAATGGAATTAAGGTTTGGCAAAGCCAGGCTCCCTCTTAAGGTGCAAGAAAAATCCTTCTTTGTCTTTTCCTAGCTTCCTGGTGCTCCTGATAATCCTCAGTGTCTCTTACTCATGTGTGAGTCACTCCAAACTCACTTCCCTCACATGACCCACTTCTCTATGTGTCTCTGACTGTGTCTTAGTATCTCTATTCTTTCCTCTCTAAGGTCACAGTCATCGAATTCAGGACCCACCTTCATTCAGTATGACATCATTTTAAACCTTACCACCGACAAAGACACTACTTCCAAATAAGGGCACATTCTGAGGCCCTGGGTAGACATGTATTTCACTCACTTATGTAAAGTTGTAGAATAATTTAGAAATGGTTTCTGGTTGCATCACTCTAAACCATCTTCAACATCTTTGTATTAATTGTTAATAAAGTTCCTTTTAGAGACATCTAATGATTTTTCAAGGCTAATTATTAACATCAATGATTATGGTAACTTTTACAATGATTTATCACGCATTAGTCATCACTTTTAGTGTTTTACATGTGTATTAATTCAGTGAAATCTCATTCTAACTCTATGAGGTATTCGAGTTTTGCTAGTAGAATCATAGCGATGATTTTACCACTAAGCATTCTGATACTACAGCTAGCCATTTAAAGCTTGTCTCCCATCAACTCCTAACATACAACACTTTCCTATCCCTGTTTAATACTGTTCTTGGAAATCTAACCTAATGAACAAATATATTTTCCCATGACCTGTGCTTATGAACTCTATAAAGCAATGTTTTATTTCATTACCTTTCTACGTATTATGTATACATACATCATACATACATGTAAGTCTTTTCATCAGTGATAGCCAATATTTGCAAACACAATGTCATAGTCCAAAAACCAATTACTACAGTAGTTCTGGGTCAAAACCTTAAAATCTATTGTAACTTGTTCTGTTAGGTGACCTCCGTAGGTCTACATAATTAGTACTGATCAAGATTATTTTAATGTGTGGTGTCTTTTCCAAAAGGTAATTTGTTCTTCAAAGTAAAGTAAATATGAGCAGATCTGCTAATGTTGGAAGTTTTTCAAGAATTTAGATCAGTGATGGCAAATCTTTTAGAGCTTTCAAGGATACAAACAGCCCCCTGTAGCATATGTGTTATAGGTTTACCAGGTCCTATTTTAGATAATCTCTTAAAAAACATGACCTACATTTTCTGTTTAAATGCATATGGTATGTATCAGATCAGATTATAATTATCTTTCAACAGAGCTCGGAGCCCTGGAAAGCATGAATCTTTGGGTTTTAAATAGCTGCGTGGCATATTGTAGCCATTCAAGTACTTGTTGGATCCATGCATGTGATTAATACTGGGTTGTGACTAAGTTACTAAAATTAAAAAGGAACTCTTGAAGCTCATGTGCAAAATTTGATTCAGAGGAATAATTCCTTCCTTTCTCTGGAGCTTTTCTTATCACTGTAGTAATTTTAAAGAGTAGAAGATAATTTTGGGGAAAAATTAGCATAGTTTGCCTTCTTCTGTATTCCTCCATTATCTTAGTAACAAAAGCAAAGAAAGCAGACATTGTAGGTAATGAAATGAAAATTATTGTATCACTGAACTAGGATGACATAAAAGCACTGTAGGGAATGAGCGTTAATTTCTATTCTGTTCCAACAGAAGATAGGTGGAAGGGCAAGTGTGATTGCAGGGAATTCACTGAAAGAAATGGAGTAAAAAACCTACAAGACGGATAAGAAGGCAGTGGTGACTGCCCTGCAAGGATTGACAGGCTATAACTATAGAAACATCAAGATTAACCTTGTAAATTGTTATGTCATCCCAAATAAGAAGTCTAGTTGTTAAAATTGTTTGGAATAGACATCAAACATATACTAACATCATGAACATTGCTCACAAATGCTATCATATTTGGTGCAATCAATGCCTAGTTGCAAATTTTAAAAATTCTCTTAAGAATTAGAATTATCATTTCTTATGCCTGTATCTTATAATCTGAGCAACTACTTTGAAGACAACAGTATGCATATATTTACCATTTTTAATTTCTTATTATTTTGTTTTGAAATTCTGTATCTTTTTTTCATTTTAAAATTTAAAAAAATTCGCAGAGAAATTTGCAACCAAGAAATGACATATCTAAAGCAATTTCTAAATCACAATTCTGCATATAAATGATCAACTGAGTATTCAGTAAATGACACACTTTTGTGTATGTTTTCAATAGGGTTTCAAAGAACCCAGGAAATATATTGCTGCACAAGGTAATTTACTTGAGTTCAATATTATTTTTAAAAAAATATTTAGAGCATTGTAAGAAATAGTTCTTAAATGACAAATTTTCCCTCTTAGGACCCAGGGATGAAACTGTTGATGACTTCTGGAGGATGATTTGGGAACAGAAAGCCACAGTCATTGTCATGGTCACTAGATGTGAAGAAGGAAACAGGGTAGGAACAGAGAATTTTTACTGGACAGAGGCTGGTGTCAGGAGGAAGGAGTGCTGAATGAATTTCTAAAAGCTGCTGCTATGTGCTTGATGACTAAAATATTTATCTATTTTAATCGGTGATAAAATTTAATTTAAAATTTCATAGATGTATAAAAGATGTGTACATATATAAATATATGCCTATAGATAAATTACTTAAATACCTGAAAATTGCTTGGCTTTTTTTCAGTGATGTCAGAAAATCCACTTTTAGGGCCAAGGATATATAGCTCAGTGGCATAAGTGCCTGCCTGGCAAGCACAGGTCCTGAGTTCAATACCTGATATGAACAAACAAACAACAAAAGGAAATCTATTTTTTTTTTTTACTTTTTTAGTACATCTTTGAAGTGCATAATGATTGCATTCACTGTGGATAATTGACACATATACATAGCACATTTTCATTCTTATTTTCTCCTTCCATCTATCCACCTCTCTTTATTTTTCTAGCATCAGCTTCATGTGTTTATCTTATAAAGCTTTTTACAGTTAATTATTACATATATTTTATGGTTATCTGACTAACAGGCCAAAGATTTTATGAATATGTAAGGCAGTTATACTAACTGAAGGTAAATTTTTAGCTATGTGGTCTGCCCTGGGTTACAATACTTTTTTTTTCCTATTATCTGTCTTTTATATTTTGTTTATATTGTTTTTCATACAGAAGACACCATGTGATATTTAAGCTTGTGTGTCTGAGTTACTTCACTTGTTATGGTCTCAAGGTGCATTCAATTTCCTACAAATGACACAAGTTTATTTTCCTTATGGCAGAGTAGTTCTCCATTGTATATAAATACCATGTTTGGTCTATCTGTCCGTCTATTGATGGACATATAGGCTGCTTCCAAAATTTAGCTATTATGAATTGCACTACTATAAACATAAGTATGCATACATTACTGTGGCATGATGTCTTTAATTCTTTTGGGAAGATACTGTACTTAGAAGGAGAGTAGCTGGATCAAATGAATCTCAACTTTTGGGTTGGCTTTAATTTGGTTGTTGTTTTATTCCAGTATTGTTTTTGTCCAGTGCATTGGAATGTGCTAATTTCACAAGTACATGTGAATACTTAGAACAAAGTTGACCTTGGACAGGCAGGTGGTAACTCATTTAATGCGACTTGAGCAAGAGTAAACGCCTCTCCATCTCCCAACCTGAAAGAGGGCATGAGGTATCACCTCCTGTTTGCGGCCCACTGAGCTTGCTCTGTTTACTATGCTGCTGAGCTTGGGAAGGGCATCCTGCTTGCAAGTAGCTTGAAGGGAATCGTTCAGGACTTGTCAGTGGGAAACAGTACATTTCAAGCAACACAACCTCAAGTGTAATTGTGCTTAATGAGGACTACGTTTTGAGAATTTTAGATGAATAGAAGTTTAGGTTTTTGTTTTTTCAAAGTGCATAGTAAAAACTATTTAAATGTAAAATCAGATTCATTGGTGACTTTTTAAAAATCCTAGAACAAGTGTGCAGAATACTGGCCCTCAATGGAAGAAGGCACTCGGGCTTATGGAGATGTTATTGTAAAGATCAATGAGCACAAAAGATGCCCAGATTATATCATCCAGAAAATGAACATTACAAATGTGAGTCTCTTTTATTATGAAATCTTTTATTTTTTCAATAAAAATGTATGTAGAATATTGCGTGTGAGAAATTGGAATATATATGTGGCTATAATTATCAATGATTTTTAAGAGGAAGAGTACTTCAGAACCAGGACATGATCTGTCAGGGTCAAATTTACATCATGCTTACGTCTGTCATATCAAAAATGTCTAATATGCTCAGCTTTGAGGCAGTAGAGAAGAGGGTTCCATTAAATATGTTAAGTGGTTAAATTATTAAATGAATAAACAAAGTCTAAGGAGACTGTTTTTAATCAACTCTGCTATTTCCTATTGGAAAGTTACAAGCAGAATAATGTTTTTTCTTTTTTAAAAATGTTCTTTTTAAAGTTATCAATTCTACTATGTGAAGGCCTAATTAATACAATGTTAACCTCATAGTTAATCTAACTTTTTGCATGTAAGGAAGTTTACCAAGCAGAATAATTTTAAACAGCAGTGATAGTGACCTTTAGTTGACATATTTTTTGCGAATATACTCAGCCCCGCATCTGTCACTCATACCCCCCTTTTTTGAAGTGCATTTATTTTTCGTCTTTTGCAGTGTGAAAGTTGCTAGGAGTTTCTGCTATATGTACTTTATGTTGAACTGCTGGGAAGTTAGGGCTTGCTGAGCAACACATGAAAGTCTTGTATGATTTCTAAACCAGTTATCTACTGGAAAGGAAACTGTAATCAGGGCTGGAGTAACATGCAGCATGCACGAAGAAAGACTCTTGGGAGCAGTTTACGTTTGGATGAGCAATTTTTTTTTTTTTTTTTTTTTTTACTGATTTTCCCTGCTGCTTATTTATAGTATGTAGTTTGCTAGGAAAAAAAAAAATAGACTTCCTATATTCAATATTATCTCCTCTCTAGAAAAAAGAAAAAGGGACTGGGAGAGTGGTGACTCACATTCAGTTTATAAGCTGGCCAGACCACGGGGTACCTGAAGACTCTCACCTGCTTCTCAAACTGAGGAGGAGAGTGAACACCTTCAGCAACTTCTTCAGCGGCCCCATCGTGGTGCACTGCAGGTAAAGATGAGCTCCTAAGAGTACTTGGACTAAAGCGGATTTGGAAAGCTACATATCATGTGGTTTCACTTAAATGAGAAACTCGCAATATAAGTAAATTAGAGAAAACAATAAAGGAGAAATGGCAAGAACATGGGAGAGCAACTTTCTGTAGTAGAGGAATGAGAAGAAGGGAGACTGGGGGAGGGAGGAGGTAGAAAATGACCAACATATGGTACAATCTATACATGTGTATCATGTGTATCTATGCCAGTTCTTCAAAACAAATGTAACTATTATGTGCCATCAACATCTACCGTTAAAATTAATAGAACACAAGGCTGGGACAGCAGGCACACATCCTTCTACCTGGCTGGAGGTGGCCATAGTTCCAGTAAGCTGGGAGGCCGAGGCACGAGGGAGGATCACATGTACAGCCTAGAAGGGGCACCTTAGCAGCTCAGTGGGACTCTAAATAAGACCTGGCCAGGGATACAGCTCAGTATAAAGTCTCTGGCTTCAGGCACAGTGTAGAACAGAGGGGAAGAGAGGAGAGAGGAAGGAAGTAGGAAAGCCAAGCCTCCCCTTTCGCAATTTCAGTTTTGGGAAGCATTTTACTAGTAGAAATATGTTTTTTTTTAAAACAGTTTTTATTGTAAATTGGCACTTTATCAATTTATACATTCATGGAGTGCAGAGTAACATTAAGAGAAGCTTGCCTTCCTAACTTTGCTCACCCTTGATCACTCTTCTCTCGCTTGCCCTGCTCATGGCTCGGCTCATTTGTCTGTTTCCGCAGCGCCGGTGTGGGGCGCACAGGCACTTACATTGGAATCGACGCCATGCTGGAAGGCCTGGAAGCAGAGGGCAAGGTGGACGTGTACGGCTACGTCGTCAAGCTCAGGCGGCAGAGATGCCTCATGGTGCAAGTGGAGGCACGTTCCAGCTTTTAAAGATTAGGCTCACTTTTGGTCTGGGACTTAAATCTTTTGGGGACAGTAGTAAAGATTCAAAAGAAATCTAAATTCTTCATATCCTCAATTGCATGAAAGTAACTTTACTTCAATTTCTTGAAAATAGAAATGGAATAACACCTGCGTTACACATTAGTGTCTAAAAGTATTGTGGATGGAATATAACCATAAAATGTATTTAAGGTTTTTTTTCTTTGTTTTTTTTTTTTTTTAAATGGGTAATGAACTCACGACCTTGTGCTTGCCAGCAGACACTTATGCCACTGAGCTAAATCCCAGGCTCCCATGAAATATATTTTAAAAAATGAAATATCATCTACAAACATAAGACTGGGAAAATAATAACACTGAAAGCACATTTGCCAACATGTCATAAAATTAAAATTGAGGATACACAATTAGATAGTAGCCGGGTGACTAGTTTTTAGAGCTAGATTTCTGAGACTCGAATCCTGTGTCTTAAATCTTGACTGTATGTATCTCTGGACAGATCTGTAATCTTTCTGTAAGTCAGTTGAGTCATCTGCAAGTTAGAGATAAAGTAAGATGTACTTAACAGGTTTATAACAAAAAGGAAATAAAAGTGAGGCACTTGACAGGTTTGTGACACATGCAATGAGTCTGGTAATGGTAAGTGACAGTTATTATTGGAAATGTCTGTAATTGACCCAGTAAGAGGACACATATGTATTTACTCAAGTGAAGCACTTGTAAATGTGCATAACTGGAAACAGGTGCAAACGTGTTCCTTGTTTGCAGCATCGTTAGCCCAGCAAGGAATTGGAAACACTCTAAATATATACCAGTAGGGGGAGGACAGAGCAGAATGCAGACAAATGGACTGCGTGTGATGAAGGCCATGCCGCAGTTGAAAGGAATGACCTTGGTCTGTATCTATCTGTGCAGTTTGATGCTCGGATACAAACAAGGAGTCTGTAAAGTAAGCAAACGGAGCATACAGGATATGATGCGTTAATCTTCACAACAACTCAAAGTAGCGCATAATGCTTATATGCTTGTAGATTACAGATATTAGTATGAAAGCATACAAATAGATTAAAGTAGGAAATAAAGAGCCTTTCTGAGGAAAATATAAAATAGAATAGAAGGATACAGCCAAACTCGGGTAACTAGAGGCAGTAAAGAGGCTCATCAAAAATAGGCTATTTCCTAAAAAATACTGTATTCAGATATGTTACAGTAAAAAGATAAAAGATAGTAAATTTGAGTTGGCATTCAAGATTTTCTTAAATAAGTTGCTCTATTTTTAAAAGTTCTACAAAACTTTCAAAATGTAGAATATCAACTTGTTTTTTTCTGATCTACAGTGAATTTTATTACAGGTATCATATTATTAATTTTACTTACAAATCTACTTACAATAACAGTTACTGAGGAGGGTATATATATATATTTTTAAATTTAGGCATAAGATAACAGATATGCAATAAATAATGGATACTTTATTTGGAAAACTATTTTTTCCTAGAAAAAATGGAAATGGAATTTTTACACATTTTAGAAAACTTGTATAAGCCAACATGTAAAATATTTACATGTTATGGTTATCAATCCTTTTTTTCCTAAAAAAATTGTTCCCAAATGAGGGAATGCATATTTTAATTAAATGTAACCTAAGGAACACTATGTTAATTGTCCGTAGTTTTCTTTGATATCTTAGGCGCAGTATATCCTGATCCATCAGGCATTAGTGGAATATAACCAGTTTGGAGAAACAGAAGTGAGTTTGGCTGACTTAAATGCACATTCATATCTACATAACATGAAGAAAAGAGACCCACCCAGTGAGCCATCTCCACTAGAGGCTGAATTCCAGGTAATGATACCAGTAGCAATAAACAATATGCACAGTAAGTTATATACTAAGTGCTGTTTTTTAGGTGTTTTCTGGGCACATGGTATAGTTCTTGCATCTGGTCCTCACCATGACCGAGGGAGCTCAAATGAGGAATCCAAGACAGAGAGTTGAGAAAAAGGCCTGAATCTTCACTGCTATTATGTAGAAAACTTCCTTATGTCCAGAAGTCTGATTCTACTGCTAACACTTTTAACCCTTCTTCATTAAGCTGGTATAAAATAAACTGTCAAAATAATAGTCTATAGCCATGAAATTGGTCTGCCACAGGCAATGTCGCATCTCACCTTTAAAAACTGCATCTGGTTCTAGTTTATAAAGGAAATAATTAGAGGAGTTTATGACTTCTTAGGAAGTTGAACTGGCTGGAGTTGGCAGACAGAAAGTAAAAGATAATAATGTGTGTCCTAACCTATTTATTAGGCAATTATTCTGACAGTTAACTGAAGATGTAGTTCATCATGATTTCAGAGAGTTGGCATAACTATCCTTACATTGTGAAGTTGTCAGGTTTTGTAATTTTTCTCTTATCACAATAAACTATGATTTCCAGTTTATCGAGTCTTTCTATAAACTGCCAGACTGGTCAGTTCAGAGAGTTTCACAAGACCAGGAATGCACTTTTAATTAGATGCATAACCATTTAATGTTCAGGATCAAAGTGGAGCTGAGGAGGGGGATGGAGGTGGAGAGAGCCATAATCACCGGCAACTCAATCTTCCAGAAAACCTGCACTTACAAACAGAAGAACTGGCAAGGGCAGGGTAGTCTTAAACAGGAGAGTATTTCACTGCTTTTTTTCCCCTTTTGGTCTTTTAGCTGATAATTTTTACTATAATCAGTACACAGACCTTCCAAAAGCTACATTTGCACATACACTATTTAGTGATGATTACATACTGAAGGTTAGTATTCACATGGTCGCTTGAAAGAGAGATATTTTTCACTAAACAAATGGGATGAAGTTACTGCTGTACCAAGTACAATTCTAGGTACAAGAGATAAAATGATTTTCAGGTGGACGTGGCTTACATTATGAGGAGTGTCATGCAAAGCCCAAGTAGTGCTCAACTATTATGGAAGCAGTGACATTTTCCATCTAAACAGACGAGATTATGGAAAGTGAAGATTAGTTAGTAAATTCGGTGATGGGAACCTAAAGTAGTTTTTTCTTGATTGCCTTCCTAAAAAAATGTATTTTAAAAAATTAATATACTGTTATGCATATTTCAATGTATGTATAAAATGTGCAGTGATCAGATCAGGATAACTGGCATAACTATCTCAACCCTGATTACCTTTCATTTTTCAAAAAAAACCCAGGCAAGATCATCAATTAAGAGTTGAATGGTTCTGGATTGAGTAGGGCAAAGCAGAGCATAAAGTTAAGGAAAGGGAGAATATGAATAGCCTCCTCAAAGCAGGAAATCATTTAAGTTGCCAGAAATTATTCCTTGATAATTTGAAATTTATGATTATGAATTTAAAAATGATCACTTCATTGAATAGATTCTTTTTTAACAGCCACATTTAGCTCTCTGAGGAGAGAGCTTGTTCATGTAGATGGTTGAGTTAATCCCACCTACACTGAAAACTGACCAGGTGACAGTATGGAGGGGAAGGAGTGGGCAATGTTCATACATGATACAGTAGCGGGCAGTACTCCTGCCACATGAAGAGCAGGAGAGAAAGTAGACTAGAATTCTGACTGGCTCATCCTTGTCAAGGTTTGAGGAACAAGAGTGATGACACGCCTTGGCAGGAACGGTGCACAGTTAACCAGGTATCAAGTCAAATGGGGTTGAAGTCATCTCAAAATCAGTGACATCTGACATTTTCACGTGAAGAGCAGTGGCTAAAAGTTGGTCTAGTGTGATGGAAAGAAAATCAGTCATCAGTTTTTTAGAGGATAAAATGAACAAAAATGGATGACAAGTGGAAGCAAGGGACAAAGTGAACACACAACTCTTATGACTGTAAGCTGAATGGAATGAGAGGGGAAAGATGATAAATCAGGCTCTTGGTGTGGCCCTCTAAAGCAAAGCAAAGCAAAAGGACTGTTAGAAGAGGATTAAGACCATGGACACCGGAGGGCAGAGTAGAAGGCTCTGATTAGTGAGATGTCAGAGGCAGGACTGTAGACACCAAGTAAGAATAAAAATGAAGCCAGTGTGATGCACTGACTGGCGTAGACCTGTGATAACAGTTGAAACAAGCAGGAATTAAAGAGTGAAAAATCCTTTCTGTTTCACAGGAAAGTGAACCATGAATTTCATTGTAATCCTGGGTATTGGAAACTAGGGAGCAGCGGCTATTGGGTGACATCTCACAAGAGCACAAAAGGTTGTGGTGTTTACAAAGAAGCTGGTCTTCCATGTGGCTCACGATGGAGATTACATGGCTTAATATTCAGTGAAAACATTTTTTATTCAATTATGCAGCCATAAATGGGATTTAAAATAGGTGTCATATTTAGTATGAAATAAGGCTCCAATACTAAATGTATACATACACATGCTTGCATAATATAAACATTTGTATATAAAATCCTACAGAGTTGTACATGAAGAGCTTTCTCAGAGATAGATAGATAGATAGATAGATAGAGAGGGATCTATAATCCCACTTGAAAGCTTATCCTAAGAACTTCCTCTTCAAAGTCCACAGGAGCTTCAGATACCACCACCTTGGGGATCAATATTTTACATGTGTACCCTTGGGGAACACTCATCCAGACCATAATAGATTGCAAGAGTCCAAGGACAGTGTGGCCCCCTTCTAAAAATTGAGGAATTTAGTTAGACCCAAGTATTAAAAGATCTAGTAAGGAATGAAGCTGGAGGGACAGTCAGGGTATATCCCTAAAGACCTTCCACCCTATATTACTATCTAATGTAATATCTATCTAATGATGGTTTGCTATCTAATGATGGCAAGAAACTTCCGAGGAGCCTAAGATAGATATCTTTTGTTTTGTGTTTTAGAATGTTTAGAGTTAGCAAGACTGAATAGAGACTCTAGTTATGAAATTATTTATATTTTCCAAGTGAAAAATGAAGATAGACTGTGTTAAATAGCAAGAAAGAAATTAAAAGGGTCTGTGATATTCACCAGTAGAAATGATAGACTTTGGTGACTAACTGCCCTGAGCAAGAGGGACAGCAACCTGGAATGACCCCATTTGAAGTATCAAGACTCCCGTTAATTTTGTATCTGCCAAGTTTCTTCCTGTTGACTTAAATTTATTTACCATTAACTTTTCAATATGGGTAATAATTAACATTGGTATAGTACTTTCAGCTTATACAAAAGTAAACCATGCTATTTTGCTATCAAGTAGCTATTAACCACATATTTTATTACCTAACTGTATGCTTTTTGTTTCAACTCACCATTCAGATATATTAAATGTCTAAAAATATTAAGAGGAAAAATTCATATTCAAACTTAAAACTGTGACTAGGAGTGTATACAAATTTTACAAAAGGAATGAAATTTTTTTCTATAGGTAGTATCTTATAACACAACAATAAATTATGCTAATGTGTATTTAGATTTTAGAAGAGTTTTTATTCTATTTTTCTTCCTCAGAGACTTCCATCATATAGAGGCTGGAGGACTCAGCATGTTGGACATCAAGAGGAAAACAAAAAGAAAAACAGAAATTCTAATGTCGTTCCATGTATGCAGTTACCTTTTAAATTTCTTTATGTCAGAAAAAGTTGAGCTCTTTTTTGTATCTGTTTACTATGAGGCGCACACAAATGATCTTGAAGCAGATTTCAACATTTGGTTGACAATAGAAAAGTCAGAAACGTATTGAAATTTTAGTTATAACAAATTATTTGAGCCTCAAGCATTTTCAAAGGACTTTGGGAGATAAACTATGTTCACTGTTTTCTTTGTACTAATTATTTCATAAATGAGTTGTAGGAAAGACAAAATATTTGAATATGAGAAACAAAAGACCAACATTCCCCTTTACTTTTCTTTCATCTTCAGCGTGATTGTCAAATAGCAAGCATAATCTGTTGTCTTTGTGCTTTCTCCTTATCTTTTATATCTGGAAGACTGGAAGTACATGGAAAATATATACTGCCAGTGATCAAATTAACAGATCAAATTATGCACAATTTTCATGACTTAAATTCTATTATTTAATGATATTCATACAATCATATTAAGTACTATGGTAATTTTTTTCAACTGATCATATTAGAATAACATGGATGAAATATAAGCCAAACTAGTAAACTAGACAACCAAATAATTCAAATCAGGGCATGGGTGACCTAGTTAATTTGATTTCTACTGAAGTCCTTATTAATATAGGTAAAGTACAGAATTGATAGTAATGCAGTTAAACAGATCATTTGACCACGTTATTATATATTTAAGATACTGAAGAACAAGGAGAATTTTTGACTGAATAATTTTTGGTTTAAATAATAATCTGTAATTCCTATTTAATAAAGATTATTAATTTAATGTTAATAGGATATAATGAAAAACAAAAGTGTAAGCTATGAATTTTGTAACTTAAAGAGAATGATGCCATTCTATGGAAATCTAAAGTATATGCATCAAGACACATAATCACTTGGAACAGTTTTTAAATATTTGATGTCTTTTGTGACCCTTTTGAGACTTTATTTTGCTTAAATGTCTTAAGTTAATTTGTTGAGTACTGAATTTTAGGTAATATCTCATTGCATTTAGATTAATATTTTCAATTCTGAATTACTTTTTAATTCAGGTCAGTCATGAAATTTCATTACCTTTATTTTTAATTTCTGTGAAGGTACAGGGAATTGAACCACATGAATATGCTAAGCATGTGCTGTACCACAGATCTAATTCCCAGCCCTTATTAGTTTTAAAGAAAGACTAACTACTCATTTATTTTTATATAGATGACTTTAACAGAGTGACACTTAAACATGAATTGGAACTGAGTAAAGAGAGTGAGCATGATTCAGATGAATCATCTGACGATGACAGTGATTCAGAAGAAACAAGCAAATACATCAATGCATCTTTTGTAATGGTGGGTGTTTATATTTCCCCAACTCAGGATACAATAATGTTATTGGTGATTATGTTAGCCTCTTCTCCACTGCTGGAACAAAATATCTGACATGCACAGGGTAAGGAGGAGAGGTTTATTTTGGCTCACACTTTCAGAGAGTTCACTACATGGTTTACCAGTTCCAAAGCAGAAATGGCATATTGGAAGGGTGTGGTGGAGGAAAACTGCTCAACCCCATGTCAGCCAGGGAGCAAAGAAAGCAGGAAAAGCCAGGGTGACAGATAGATATCCTCCAAAGGGATGCACATCCTCTACTAGTAATTTAGCTCTTAACAGCTCATTCAGCCGTGAATTCATCAATAGGCCAATTCAACAATGAGCATCACAGCCCCCAGATTCAATCACCTTCCTAAACCCCATCTGTGACCACATAAAACTTTGGAGACATTTTAGATTTAAATCATAATAGGTATATTTTATGATAAATAGAGCTACAACCATATTTATTTTAAGAGCAAAATTTGACCAAAGACAGATATATAAAAGTTTGTTTTAACTTATATATCAAATTTGTAAAAAATCCAAATGTATGTATTTTTATACTTATAAACTCTTCACTCAGTTCAACTGGATTATTAGGTAAACATTGGTCACATACATTTTAAAAATTAATTTGAAAAGTCAAATAATTTCATGAAATTATTGGGTGTCTTAATCTTGATTCTGTTATTAAGAATTATATGAATAAATATGTGTAGATATTTCTTTTTTCTTAGACATACAAATCTTAATGTATTTGTGCAACAGCACTGATGTCAAATTAAATGATGACTTTTCTCTATAGTTATTTTAAGGAGGTACAGTCCTCTGAGCCGTTAGTAACAAAGTGTCACTTCTATTTTTTTGAAAGAGTTACTGGAAACCGGAAATGATGATTGCTGCTCAAGGACCCCTGGAAGAGACCATTGGTGACTTCTGGCAGATGATATTCCAAAGAAAAGTCAAAGTTATTGTTATGTTGGCAGAACTGAAGCATGGAGACCAGGTTTGCACTTCTGAGAATCTTTTCTAAAATGTTTGTTACAACGTGTCCTTCTCCATTCTTGGATTACTTGCTTGATTGTTCTGTGAGCATCATTTTAATCACTCTGTCACAAAAGTCTCTTTGTTTAATCTGCTGCTTTCCATTCACTTGTTGATCTCTATTATCTTATGTCTAGAGTCTGACATCTCTCAAGCCCCCCCCCCTCCAGTCTCACACACAGTTTTTGGATTATCCAAGATGCAGCAATTCCATTTTGACAACAAACAGCAACTATATCGTTTATTTTTTGACAGTAAAAGTTAAACTCTCTGCCATTTTAAGAAATTTAAAAAAAAATCAAGTCTTGTATATCTGTTCAGTTTCCTCCCATTTTTATGTTTTCCATATTCTCTGTATGGGTAGGTTTATAGATTGAGTTTTAGCACACGATCTTGTACGTAATACCAAACTTCCAAAGACGTTAATAATATTCTTCTTTCTTAATTCACATGTAATATTTGTTGCCATAAAACACACAGAAACATGCACACATATATATGTATGTATAATTATTTTTCCCATTCATTAAAATTTCTCTGGAGGTGAATTATCTACCACTTAGATTTTGGTTTTACTTGGTTTTTCCTAGCAACTACCATGTTATCTGACATATCTTAACATATCTTAAGTTTTATTCAGGGAAAAGTCTCATAAACTTCAATACTGGCCAGTTTTCCATTACTGTGACAAAATATCCACCATATAAAACTTAAAAGAGGAGACGTTTATTTTGGTTTCATGGTTTCAGAGGTTTCTATCCATGCTTGACTAGCTCTCAGGCAGATGCACCATGGCAAAAGCCCAAGGTGGAGGAAGAATGCTAATCTCCAGGCAGCAGAGTAATCAAGAAAGGGGCAGAGAAGAAGATAAAGGGACCAAGTACCAGACACAGTGCCCAAAGCCTCTCCATCATGACCTACCCAGACATAGCCAGAACTGTACTTTATAATCTAGGCATTTCCCAAGCTGATCAAGTTGACAACCAAGATCAACTGTCACAAAATACAGTACTATTTGTATTTCTCTCCCTCCCTCTCTTTCTCTGTCTCTCTATGTCTGTATCTGTATCTCTATATCATCTATATGTATGTATGCATTTATCTATCTATCTATCTATCTATCTTTCTATCTCCATCACTATCTATCTACATCTCAATCTCTCTCTCTAGCTTTCTCTGTCAGCCCTCTTAATTTGTCACTTGCTTTTGTTATCTTTCTCTTTTTAAAAACAGAGAATATGTATTCATATTATCCAGTTGGGAATTCCTGCCATTTTCCCCTTGTCTAAAATGTAAAAGCCAAGAAACAGAATGAAAGTATAGGGAGGAATATCCGATATTGTCATCAACCATGGGTCAGCTGTAATTGTGGAGAGTAGATTGCATAGAGATAACACTTGATATTCACATGTACTCCCATCTGAACTTTTACATTGATATTACATCTATTAGCTGCACATGGTGTTGGTCATTAGGATAGACACATTCCCGTGTGAAGCCCTCCTCCTAAAGGATCAATGGAAAGAGAGAGAGAGTATGCCAGAGTTATTGGAGATGTCATGACCATTATCAACTCAATCTGTACGTTATGAAGAGGTGACGATTAGGTATGGAAGGAAAAAATAAATCTTAAAGACAGCATGTGGGAAGACAGAGCTTGATTATTTCGAGTTTCCTTTACTTGCACTAAGAAACACCATGTTCAATGGGTGTCCATCATACTTACAATAGATTTTAGATTTTTTATGGACAGGTTTTATTTTAAAATACAATTAATGATTTCTATTTAATAGAAAATAGGGAGGGAGATGAAAGGAGAGAGATAGGCACAGACAAACAGAGTTTTCATGAATAATTTATATAGCAAACAGAAGAGTTTCTTGCAAGTTGTTTAACTGTGTTCTTTGATTCCAGGAAATCTGTGCTCAGTACTGGGGAGAAGGAAAACAAACATATGGAGATATAGAAATTGATATCAAAGACACAAATATATCTCCAATGTACACTGTCCGTGAATTTGAACTGAGACATGCCAAGGTAAAAAAAAAATACCTACACACAATTTTGAGAATATTTATTTTTGTGTAATTAATTTGCTAATATGTAATACTTTAAGCAAAACTACCATCTATATAACAGTACATAAAAGCTGAAATATTTGAATGAGAGCAGTTGTGAAGAATATCCAGCTGTCAGACTATAAACCTGATTGAATTTAGTAGAACTAAAGTTAATTCACTTCTAATTTTAGAGGAAAGACACTCGAACTGTGTACCAGTACCAATATACTAACTGGAGTGTGGGCCAGCTCCCCGAGGAAGCCAAGGAGTTAGTCTCAATGATTCGAAGCCTTAAAGAAAAGCTTCCCAAGAAGACTCCCATTGAAGGGAATAAATATCACAAGACTGTGCCTATCCTAATTCACTGCAGGTGGGTGGTGTTAATAAGACATGCTTTAAAATCATACACTTGACTTCTTACCTGGCATTTTGTCTTAAATTCCATTTTTTTCTGGTGATTCAGCTACTTTTCTTATTGCTGGGACAATGAATCCCACCACTACAAGTTACAAGAGAAAAGGTTTATTCTAGCTCTGTTTGTAGATGTTTCAGTTGGTTCCAAGGCAGGGTGTCGTGACAAAGGGCTATTACAGAGGAGAAACAGTGCATGGCATGGCAGGTGGAGGGCAGCAAGAGCAAACATGGAAGCGAGTCTCCATTTCCTTTTTTTTCCCCATCAACAGGCTATGAGCCTTTTGATGCTGACACACATCTAGGGTGAGCCTGCCCATTGCTCACACCCAGAGCTAAAATAATCAGTGAGCTAATACAGTACCACATACCCTTAATCTCAGTAGCACACCCTTAATCCACATTCACACATCCTAGGTCCAGCCATCTTCACAAAGTTCCAGCTATGGGCGCATGAGGTTTTGGGGTGATATCTAGATATGAGTTGTAGCACTTGGTATATAAAATGCATGGGCACAGTGAAAACCTGTTATGGAGTCACTACCTTAGTTATACTACTACAGCATAATAATGACAGAAGTGTAAAAGAAATAATTATATTTCACTCCAGTAAATGTATGCTGTGACTTCTTTAGTACCAATGTCATGTCAACTTTGATTTCTCAGTTCCTAATGCTAAATCAAGAATATTACACATACTGAATGATCAAATGAGTGTAAAGAAGGATGGATGAACAGAGAAGTGGATGGGTTACATTAGATATATTCCAGTACCATGCTTTTTTATCACAGTACCTTTGCAGTATAATTTAAACTCAAGAGTCATGATGCCTCCTGACTTAACTTTGTTGCCCAGAATTGTTTTTGCTATTCAATGTCTCTTCCGGTTCCAAGTAAATTTTAGGATTGTTTTCTCGAATGTTTGCTCTTGCTATTTTGATTGGGATTGCATTAAATCTGCACAACAATTTTGGAAATATGGCAATTTACACTATGTTGGTTCTTTCTACCCAAGAGCAAGGGATAGCTTTCCATTTTATGACATCATTTTGACCTACTTTTTCAAAGAACTGTAGTGACTTTGTTAGATTGATTCCTAAGGGCTTTTTATGCTATTGTGAAAGATTTCTCCAATTTGTCTCTCAGTGAGTATGTTATTTGTGTACAGGAATGATATTGATTTTTGAGTGTTGATTTCGTATCCAGCTACATAACTGAATTTTGTTATTAAATGTAGAAATATTTTGGTGAAGTGTTGGAGGCTCTATGTAGAGTATCATGTCAACCACAAATAGTAATTCAACATTTTCTTTTTGCATCTTTATTCCTTTTATTTGTTTTTATTTTAATTTCTCTGGCTAATGTTTCCAGAACTGTACTGAATAGAGTGATGATAGTAGACATCTTTGTCTTCTTCCTGATTTTAGAGTGAAAGCTTTCAGTTTGTGACCAGTTAGTATGATGTTGACTATTGATTGGTTGTAGATGGCTTTTATCAGATTAAGATAGAAACCATCTATTCCAATTTATTACAAGATTTTTATCATGAATGGGGGTTTGGATGCATGCTATCAAATATTTTTCTACATCTATTGAGATGATCATGTGATTTTTGTCTTTCACTCTGTTAATATGGTGTATTATATTAATTGATTTGCATATGTAGAACCATCCCTGCATCCTTAAGATGAATCCTGTTTGATCATTGCATAATTTGCTGCATTATGCTTGCCTGTATCTTACTAAGTCTATTTGTTCACATGTATTGGACTTAGTAGATATCTACAGTGTTCCACCTCACAACAGGATACACTTTCTTTTCAGCTGCACATGGGATATTCTGATACTTCTTGATTGATTTTTTTTGTCTGGTTGACCTATTTGTGACAGCGGGGTATTAAGATCCTCCATTACAATTTTGTTGTGTTTATCTGGTTTTTTTTTTATGTCTGACAATATTTGTTTTATATAGTTGGGTGTGCCAGTATTTGGTTGGATATGTATTTATTGTTATCTCTTGTTATTCTTGGGATTTTCACTTACGTATTTAGCGACCTTCCTTGTCTCTTTTGATCAGTCTCAGGTTGAAATTCACTTTGTACAAATCAAATAGCTACCCTGTTTTTTTTTTCCTGGCTTCCTGTCATATAAAATATTATTTTCCATCCTTTGACTGTGTCTACAAATTTCCTTTGAGGGGTAAATGTGTTTCTTATGTGCAGCATATTCTTGAATCTTGTTTCTTGATCCATTCTATCAGTCTGCTTCTTTTAATTGGTAAATGGAGATCATTTTCATTTATTGTTATAACTGGTATGTATTGGCTTATCCCAGTCATTTTATTTCCCCATTATTGGTTTTCTGATTTTCTCCTCCGTTTAATTGTTTGTCTTGCCTGCTGGATTCTTTATGTTGGTGTTTTTAGGATGTAGTCTTCTTTATCTCTTTCTGAAATGTCCTTCAGAACATTCTGGAGAGCAGGTTTGGTAGTCATGAGTTTCTTCAGTTCTGTGTCATGGAACTGTCTTATTTCTCCATTGTTTTTGAAAGGGTACATCAATTTAGGTTCTTTCAGGACTTGAATTACTGCACTTTAACTCTCTCTTTTACATAAGGGTTGGTATTGAGAAGTCTGCTGTGATTCTAATGGGCTTTCCTTTATAGGTGATTTTTTTTTCATTTCTCTAATAACAGCTTTTGATGTTCTGTGCTTGTGCTGAATTTCTGGAATCTTGATTATTATATTTCTTGATGTAGATTTTTTTTTGGCAATTGCTAATTGGAGTTCTGTATTCCTCATCTATCTATATGTCAAACTATTTTTCTTTTCTTGGAAGGCTTTCTCCCATCATTTTTGTGAGTAGCTTTTTTATGGTGGTTACACTATCATCTCCTTTCTAATTGGATTGATCATTATTATGCTATTCTTTGCATCAACTTGCAGCTATTGGATCATGGTCCTTTGCTGTTTTAAAGAAATCTTTCTTCTCATGATCAGTGAGCACAATTTTGCTCTCACTTTTGTTCATTTGGCTGTGTATATTTTCAATGTGATTTTTAGTCACCTGGATATCTGAATTTGAATCTGTTTCATGAATGCCATTTATTTCCTATGGAGGAAATTCATGTTTTCTATCATTTTCCTAAATGCTATTTTAAAAAATCTGTGTCTACGCTAGATTCACTGGACAAGTCTTTTGTTTTGATCATCACCTCCTTTTTTATCTGAGAGATTATTTCTGATCTGATTTCTGTCCATACCCTCATTCATCTTTTTTTGTACTTTTGCTCCTGCCATTTTAGAAAATTCAGGTGATTGACTTCTGACTTATATTTTACTGTTCCCTTGACTGGGTGGTCTGGATGTCTGGGGTTGCATTTTGCTTCTGTATCTTCTCATTTTCTATTTTTTAAAATTTTAATTTGCTTTCTGTGTTGATGCTTGGGAATTCCTTGTGGAAGATAGCTTTATAACTAGTAACAAAGATTTCTTAGGGGGTGTCTGTTGCTCTGAGATGTCTTTAAGTTTCAGCTGGATCTTGGTCTTTGTGTCTGTCCCAAGATCCTACACTCCCAATTTATTAGGGATGAGAAGTTGTTATTTATTTGCTCAACACTAGTCCTTTGGTACTGGGCTACGGTGATAGTTATGACTGCAGACAATCACAGTGTTGTCATTCAAGGGAAACAGATGATTGTGTGACATCCTGGCTAAAATAATACAATTAACAATTACAGTAGCATCAAACACAGCCTAGAAATTGGCAAAGTGTGATAATTATTAATTAGCACCTTTAATTGTAGGATCAAGATCTATAGAATATTGATGAAAACCAGAAAGACTAGAGAGAATGTTCACTCACATGAAAATATCAAAAAATCAGAAAGATTATTGAGAAAAGAGAGAAAAAAGATGAAAAATGTAAAACAAACAGTAAAAGTAAAAATCTAAATAACCAAATGAAAAGCCAGATAGAAAAAAGAAAACAAGACAAACAATAACATTTCTCTGCTGTCCACAGTTCTGTGGTAGTGTCCGTGTCAGAGCCCAATCTGCTGGGTAACCCTGCCAAGTCTGCAGTAGGGTGAGAGCTGAGTGTGGGACTGATTTTGGCCTCCAGATGTGGAGTAGGGCCAGTCTTTAACCAGCTACTTTTGGGATGTCTCTCAGCAATTCATGCATGTCTCCTTACCCTGTTTGTCTCTATGTCAGTCTCCCAGTTGGCCATGGAGACAGTCCAAGGCTGCTCCTTCCCACTTCCCTTCCTTCTTGAGTGGGAGGAGTGCTGTCCCCCCCCCCGGGGGGGGGTTGCCACACTGCAGCCTAAGGCTGCTCAAATCCCAGGTCTGCTTCCCTCTCTCATGCTGCTGGTTGCAGGGCAAGAGTGATTGTGCTGTTCCACTCACTACCTGCACTACTGCCTATGCGATGTGCACATGAGCCATGTTGTTGCTAGAGGTTCCAGATAGTTGCATAGAATATGATGAGGCAGAGAGAAAGAGAGAGGGACGGAGGGAGGGAGAGAAAGAGCAGAGAAGAAAAAAAAAGAAAGGAAAGGAAAGGAAAAAAAGAAAGGAAAGGAAAGAAAGAAAAAGAAAAGAAAAGGAAAAGAAAAGAGAAGAGAAGAAAAGAAAAAAAAAAGAAAAGAAAAGAGAAAAGGAAAGAAAAAAGCTGGTGGTCTATGGGTAGGGAGCAGCTTTCAGGTCACTCCTCCTTGTGTGTGCCAGCAAAATTTGCTGCCAGGCTGCAGGGTCCTCTGTTTGGAGGAAGGCAAAAATGTCAGGGTTTTTTATATCCCAGACCTATCCTGTGTGACTTGAGTTTGCCACACTGTTGCAGTCCATCAGTTTTTTTGGCGGGGAACTTCCCAGAATAGTGATTCCTGTTTCACATGCAGGTGACAGACCCATAAGAAGCCCTGTGGGTTGCTTTGTCATTTTATAAAATCTTATGTCTGTGTTTTGTTCTGTCTCCAAGTCCCTTGTTTCAGATTAATTGCAGCATCAGGATGTATGTCCTTTCTTTTCTTCCAGTTACATATGTTTGTGACTGGTTAGAGTAATTCTACAGTGGCTCCTCTTCTATTCAGCTATTTGAATCCCAAATACATAATTATGCATATTGATCCACTCTCCTTAGTGTTACAGACTAAAAGCCTGAATGCTTTGCCTTCAATACACGTATCTAATTAAATCTTAGCTGAACTCTTAATACTTATCAACTTCGATTTTAAGCCCATCAGTTGATTTCCTAAATCTCAAAAGCAAAGATTTTAGTGCCACAAATAATATTTTTGTTTTAGTTTATGTTAAATAAATTTTTAAATTTATCTGTATTATATACCCACATACGATCTAAGTAAGAGATATTAAAGAAAGAAGAAATAATATTAAAATTTCACACGAAAAATAACATAAAATCAAAAGAAAAAATCATAAAGTGAGAAATGTAAATCTAGTGAAACATTTATATAATTTTTGAAAAAAAACTTCAGTATTATTCTACTGCATATACTAGAAAAAAGTGCTTAAAAATACTCTTCTCATGTTTGTTTGAATTGTCCATAGTGGGATTTATGTGGAAAGAATGGGAAAGTGAATTGTAGGCCCATATGTCTTTCTTAGGTTAGAGCTAAATATCTACTATTTGCTCTTTTGCTGTATACAATACACTGTGTCCCACGATAACATATGTTTAACCTAAATGTATTTATGTGCTTTATACTTTTCATAGTTTGAGCAATCATACTGGTTTATGTTTTTTGATAATAATAATTACAGTTGCTTTTGTGATATACGTGTGGTATATTTTCATCCCCCAATAAAAGGGTATTTTACATGATAGGATTGTTATAGTCCAAAATTGACAATCCAAAGTTTGTGTCACCAAAACTGGATTTAGAAGAAAATAAAAAGCAAAATGGAGAACAGATGTTAGGAAGTAGGAAGAACTTTTCAGATGGGAAAGGGATCAAGATGGGAGAGGGAAAGAAGGGATAGGGATATAAGAAAAAAAGAAAATCAAAAAGGAAAAATAGACACAGAGCTTTTGCAATGCAGAGCAAAAGAAGGGTTGGGGGGGAGAAAAAAGAGTTAAGATGTGTTATATACATGTACAAATCCTCCATGATGAATGTGATCACTAGGGATTACAAGCATAGACTAACAAAAAGACATTAGAATACGATAACTGCATTAACATGAAAAAGTTCCATTTTTCAGCTTTTATGCTGTCAATGTCTATATTAAAAAGTAGACTAATTTCTCTTTTTGTCCTTTTTTGCTTTTGTAGAGATGGAGCTGAGCAAACAGGAGTATTCTGTGCTTTGCTAAATCTCATGGAAAGTGCAGAAACAGAAGAAGTAATAGATGTTTTTCAAGTAGTAAAGTCTCTACGCAAAGCTAGGCCAGAAATGGTTTCCACATATGTAAGTATTCCACATCCTTGATTTTGAAATGCTTTCCACTTCCATTTTGCTAGATTCTCCACCCACCGTTTTCCATTCCCTTTGCTTTCATTCCTGCTCTTCTGTTGATCATCTCAGACTCAGCCAGTGAAGACTACCTTGATTCAACTGTCTACCACTGCCTGATGAATCTACAGGGTTTTGACTAGTTCAACACAACCTATTCTGCCAGTAGGCTAGGGGTTGACTACCACTTAGTATGGTGATAGGGACTAGTGGGTTCATCTCTCCTCCGCTAGAAGGCTAGGTCAGACTTCTTCAATAAGGGGACAGGGTGCTACGTGGGTGACCTTGAATCCCAAGCTCAAAACTGACATAACATCTTCCCTTGGATTTTACCAAAGAAATCATGAGGACAGCTCCTCTCCAAGTGGTGGGGAAACAGAGTCCTCTCTGTTGAGAGGGGATACAGGCACATTGCAAAAACCTATGTACAGAACAGAAATAATCACTTGCATTTTTGGCAGTAACTCATTGTGGCAGTAACTGTAGATGCTCGTCTTAAAATTAGCAATTATTCACAATAGAAGCTTAATTACTCACTAAAATTAGAAAGTGATATTGACTTTACATATACTGGTTTGAAAATTGTGTCATGCACCATCTTTGTGCTCTTGCCACTAAAAGAGTCAATGTTTGGTATGAGTAACATGAACAAGGGAATTTAATTTAACCAAGGACTTCAGAGTAAGCTTCTTAAAGCAGGTGGTTCCTGCTGTCATGCTTCAATGATGTGCCAGCCAAGAAAACGAGTGCAGAATGGTGTTGTTGGCAAAATCTCACAGCTCAGTAACCATGTGGTGTGTGTTTGGTAGAATGGAAACATTTGTTAAGGTCATTTTTTTTTTTTTGAGACAGGGTTTTGCTATGTAGTTTAGCAAGGCATCAAATTTACTATATAGCACAGGCTGACCTCAAACTCAGTGATCCTCATGCCTCAGCTTCCAGTGTGCTGGAATTACAGGCATGTGCCACCTTGCCCAGCCTGCCTAAGGTCAGTTTTGAAAAGCACCCTTAGAGCATCAAGGATCTATGACATTAAGAATGGTCTTCATAAGGACTGGGGATGTAGTTAAGGATGGAGCTCTTGCCTAGTATACTTATAGCCTCAGATTTGATCCCTAGATCTCAAAATATAATCCTTGGTGAGAATACATCACTGAGCGTTTTTATTTCTAGACTTCCACAAGTAAATGATTAATTATTGCTTATTTTATTCTGACATAAAAGTAACTACATCAACTGTCTTTGTGTAAATCTTGGCTGCTTTCTTCTTCTAGGAGCAGTACGAATTTCTGTATGACATTATTGCCAGCACCTATCCTGCCCAAAATGGACAAGTAAAGAAAAATAGCCATCAAGAAGATAAAATTGAATTTGATAATGAAGTGGACAAAGCAAATCATGATGTTAATTGTGTCAGTTCAACCAGCACCCCAGAACAGACCCAAGATGTAAACAAACAAGCAGAAGGTTCCAAATCCACAAGCAGCTCGGAGAAGCCAGAACATTCTGTCAATGGCCCTGCGAGCGCAGTTTCGACTGAGAGTTAATAGGAAAAGACCCAAAGGAGCGACTCAAAACCTCCTTTTAGCTGTGATTTCTATTTTCTAGAAAGGGAAATAATTGACCTGGGATAGAGAAGTGCTCGGGTCCAACATTTGGTGAAGTTTGATTACTGTGGAAGAATATTTAAGATAGTTTTGGTAAAGAGTTTTGTATAGTTTTATGCTTATCTTAAAATCTTATCATGCAGCAAAAGCATTGTAGTCATTGCGTGTGTGTCCTTGTGTGTGGGGTGCCCTTGGCAGGGAACAGGAGTGTGCTTTCCAGTGAACCCAAATGCTCTTAAGAAACTTTGCCTTTTTCTATTTCTGAAAGAAACCCCCATTTTATACTGTACTGTTAACTTTGGTGGAAGGTTCTGATTTCTAACATCATCACTCCATAGTGGCTGTGTAAGAATAACATATATTTGGACATTCACCTCAAGATGTCCTCCTAGTCTTACTCATATACATCAGTTGGTAGTTTACTTATAATGGATAAATGTAGCATGTGTGTGTATAGCTACTATGAAAGGTTAGGTAAATTAATATTTGGAAATCTTACATAAAAGAGTACATATGGCTTTGCCGATTTTTTGTTTCAAAAAGTGTATTAATGTATAGAGATATCAAGAAATTGTCTAGAATGGTGTGACATCATGAGGACATTTTTCTTTTTTTAATGTTCATTTTAATAAATTTGTGCTAGTGTAAAATGCTTCTAACTGGAAGAAATTAAGAATTGCTTTAAGTGTGTGCAGTGATAGATTTGTTAATTTGCTTGAATGTGGAAATAATTTCAGAATGTATTTGTATCTCAGAGCATGATGTTGTACACCTTAAATATATATGATTGTATTCATCAGTTATGTCAATAAAAAGTGAGTTAATTTAAAAAAATTTCATGCAACTGTGTTTTGCCAGATGTTTTCATGAGCAACTTAATGAAGCTATACTTGGAGATTAAACAGTGATATGAGAAATGCCTTATTGTATGTGCTTGTTCCCCATTATTAAAGTCTGTCTTTAATTTTCACTGAAGTGAATTTATTTTGAGTTTTTCAAATGTTTAGGCTACTTTTATCAGGAACTGGTATTGATAACTAAAACTGTCCTTATTTATGGTATAGTCTATTACATGTTTCTATATGAATTATGTATGCACCAATCACACTATAATCAATAATATTTTAGAACATTTATACATGTTCCAATGTTTTTAAAAGGAGTTGGAGTCTAATAATTGTATAGGACCTAGAAAAAATTAAGATTGTTGGCAATTTCAAAGATGCAACAAAAACTACTCTTTTTCAAAGGTGAATTTTGTGTCAGCCTTCACTTTAGTCACATACTACCTTGAGATTGGTTTGGTTTTCAATATCTGATTGATTTTAAGTGTCTTATCTACATAGCATCAGTTGCTTTCTGTACAAGTGATACTTTTTGCTCTTCCTTTTAATTATTTTATTGTTATGTAATGCACAATTAGTAACTATGTACTTCAAACATGTACAAATGGAAGGAGATCAAAAGAAGGGGAAAAGCCAAGGGTGACAAAAGGAAAGAAGATGTGTCATAGGAATGTACTAACTCCTCACAAGGATTGTCAGCATTATGTGCCAGACACAGATAGTAACACGAAGTAAAGAATAAAAAAGAAAATTGAAAAAAATCAGCAATTAATCTTTATGATATTGTATTGCTCCTGGTCCTTGTGTAACAGATGAAAAGAAGTGAAATTTATAATGAAGCAATAATTTCCAGTTTTTATGATTATTTCCATTTTTGACTAGAAAAAGGGGTTGGAGAATTAATTTTGGAAATCAGAAAGAAAGTTTGCCTTGTTTTATCACATGTCGCTCAAAATTTTGGCATCCAGTTTCTTCTAATGCATCTTGAACAGTGTATTTAAAAAATAAGTTAGTTAAAATTATGATTCTAATGCCCAGTAGACCCATGTTATTGAGTATGATACAGATCTGTTTTTATTGGGTATTGTTTCAAATACAAACAGCAAAAGCTGAACCTTAAATAATCGATAAATAAGTTTTTTCTTTAGAAATCTCAACTGCTAGAATCATTTTCCAAAAGTAGATGATGTGTGTTTAGTGTATTTTTCTCTTGAGACCATTCTTTCAAATATATAAGACAAATTCTTAGAAAGTGGAGCCATGATAATTTTGATTAGTTTAAAAAGAATCTTGGAAATGTACTTTTGCTTTTGCAAATAGGAAAGTGTAGTACAGAGCAAATAAAGCAGTGCTTCAGCAGGTCATTATTCTAAGTACCACATATCAATAGGAAGTGAAATTTATCACACTAGAATGTGGAATTGTACACCTATAATGTAATCCTTAAAAATAAAGTAATATGTGAATTTCTTTCAGACGCGTGTCTTTAGCTGTAGGTTGCATTCATAGGAGATTTTTCACAAAATATTTGTCACAAAAGAATCTTTGCTAAATTTACCACTTCCATTATTAATCCCAGGATGTAGACAAAAACATAAATCAAAAGGCTCCAACTTTTAAAAAAATCTCAGTCTATTTAACAAGCAATTTCTCAGTTCTGTTGTCTGTTATGTGGGGCAAAAAGAGACTATACTTCTTTTAAAGTTATTTACTTTCATTCTTAGACTCAGAATTCTTTGGAAATAAGTCATATACTTGGTTATGTTAAAATTCAACTCTCAAGCCAATACTTTTGTACATAAACAACAAATAAATATTTTCAGAAAAGAGATACATATTTTGCTTTGCAAATAATAAATTCAAAGCAAATGATAAATTGTGTGAAGGCATTAGCTGAGTCTTTGCAATGATAATTTTAACAGTACAAGTTTCTGTTCAGAATTTTAAGACTTGTTCAGTGAAATGCCCAAATTTTTCCTCTTTAACTATAAAATATTTTTTTACAACTAATATTGATAGAGTTTTCAGCGTGGCTAAAAAGATAGAAATATGAAATAAAAGTGGCCTTTATTTTAAGAATGTGGAGAGAGCACCCCCTGACCACTGAGGTCTGGCTTTTCTCTCCCCCGGGCATGTGTTGTGGGGGCATAAGTATAGCTTAGGTTTGGCGTGGTGCCCAAGGGGCCTTACTGATGCACAGGTGGCCCATTAGAATTCACTTCGCAGCACACGTAAATTGCCTAGGGGTGGGGAAGGTGACCTCAAGATAGACCCCCTTGGTTCCGCCTCCCAGCCTCCCACTGCTGCAGTATTTAGGGCAAAATCTTTTTGAATATTGCTTTTAATTTTTAATTTATGTTGCAGATTTTATATGAAACCTTGTGATAGTGCCATATCAGGTCTAAATAACTGGGAGGTAATTGCCCCTGAATAATTTCAAAGTGTTCTTGATATGAAGATTTTTACATGGATAACTTCGAAGGAGATGAGTATCTGCTAAAACTAGTAGGAAAGGTAATGCTTTTATTTTCATGAACAAATTTTACATATGAAATTTTCTAAATGATATATTCAAAATAGGGCTATTTATTTTCTGTTTTAAATGAAGACATTTGTCTTATTTAGGGTCTACCTTTTTTTCTTTTGATATTCATTCTTTTGCAAATCTCAATCCATTTCCCTTTACATTTTATTCTTTTCCAGTTCAAAAATACCTCCTAAATTTTTGATAGTTGTAAGATAATTTAAAACTTCTAATCTTTTACAGAAAATGAAATCTTGTTTTGACTAATATCCCTTGAGTCACAGACTTCTTTACATGGTTGCTTTCTTTATAGCAACAGGGAAGTTGATTGTCACCCAGTTAAAATTGGATAGAAAAATCAACAAAACCAAAAACAATTGTAATAACTGAGATATACTAATACTATAAAAATTAACCCTGTAATTATGAAATTCAACTCAATTGGGCATTATACATGTAATCATATATGGGTGTGTATGTATACATGATACATACATTCACACATATGCAAAATCTTCCAATTATAACCTGGAAATATCTATCTTATCTATTTTACATTTGCAGCATTAGCTTTGATCCTTAACCTGGGTCAAAACTTACTGCTTGTCATATGAAAATATAGTTCCACCTGCTAAGATTTTCCAGAGGTAAAAATAACTGAGTGAAACTGTCACCAGACAGGGACTAATGAAGTCTGTGCAATGAGAAGATGGGAACCTGACCATGCTCTTCCAAGTAGTCTTGTGGATTCTCCTTACAGAAAAACATTTCAGGATGTATCAGAATGAAATTCAGGCAGATTTATTAGGCAGAGTAAGAAAGTAAGAGAAAATGGGGATGGGGCTTCACAGTTTGAGAAGCTGAAGAGAACACAGCTCTGATGAGAAGGATCAGACTGGCTCTTTAACAAAAGAACAAGGCTGGGTTCACTTGGGTTTGCTACATTTGATAGACTGTGATTCAGTCTATCTCTGTTCTGGTTTCCAAATGGCCTTAGAAGTCTTGTTTTGAGCTTGAAGGAAGACATTTCAGTCAACATGAGATAATCATTTTTGCTTGAGGCAGTTTCAGATTTTTGAAGGCTGGAACCAAATAAACATAGTTTTAGGACCATAACTGGACACGAGTATTAGCTGATGGCTGACTGGCTGACTGTCCTTGTGAATCTCTTATTGTACTTGGTCTTGATGTGTAATGAGATTTTTTTTTTAATTCTAGGCTAATCGACATTGTTTTGACAACTTTTAGAAAGACACACCTTACATGAATAGCAAAAATTTGAATCACAGTTTGAAGGTGTAAATGAAAGGCAAGCTTTGTTCTGCTTTTAGTTACCTATTGGGCATGTATAACTCAATATGAGGAGTCATTGTCTTTTTAGCAAAATATGCTTTTAAGTCCCTGACTGCCTCATAAGAAAACACAATTCATGGTTTTAATGCATGATAGTTTAAGGGTTCAAGAGTTTGCCTTCTGTCCCTATGGTAATATCTGTGCCCAAACTACTGGATTACTCATCGAAGAAAAATTTAAAAAAACTACCACAGACCCAACCAAAGCATATGTTTGCTACACTATCAGATATAAATTTTAAAATTATTATAACTAACATTTATTAAGGCACAGTACCTGCCAGATAGTCATTAATTGTTTTATCTGAATTTGTTTAGCATGACACATTCTATGCTACCTATGTTTTCATCATCTTCTCTTTACAGACGAGAGACTGAGGCTCAGACAAGCTCAGTACCTGGTATGGTGCAATGCGTACAATAATGATAGATCCTGGCTTCAAATCAGCTCTTGAGACACCTAAAGCATACTTTAGCACTATTGGTTCCTTTTTTTATTTTTTTGAGTATCAAATTGTTTATGTGCTTTGTAACATTTTATTTTATTCTCTGTCTTTTCTATATTTCATGATTAAAACAAAACAATGTATAATATATGCCCTCAAAATTCTGCCCACTTCAGCAAGCTTCGTTAAGTTCTCTTGCAACATTGAAATATTGTACAAAAATAAACACACTCTTAAACATTCAAGGAAAAGGATTGTTTGATAATACATTTTAACAGAGATCACCTCAGTGCTAAGTGAGTGCCAAGAAATAAGGCATTATAATAAATCACAAATATCATTGTTCCATTATGCCATAATTTGGATACCAGAACAAATTCTTACTGTTTGGATGACATTTTAGAGTGTTTGTCAAAGGATCCGTTAAATGGCATTTAAAACAACAGTTCTTCATAAACTAAAAAGCACTTCTATGAAGAGTATGACTCATTGCTCTGTCTGGAATGCACGGGGAGATTTTCTGACCCACCTCTCCCCCGACTTACAAGGGAAGGGAATGAGGAAAAGGACTTTCAGTGTGAAGGATCATACGTGTTTCCCTCTAGAACAAAACAGTGCTTTTTTTTCATTTACGCATATCCTTTCACAAAAATAAAGGTGGAATTTCTAGCAAACATAATTTTTCAGAAAAGTAAAACTTGTTAGATTCAATGACATCTCTCATGTGTAGAAGACAAATCAGATCTAAAGAATCGTGTATCCAATCAAAGAATAAAAATATTGCATTACATTTTTCAATTTAG